TCGAATCGAAAATTGCTGTAATTAAAAACCCTTCATTTTTGCAGAAATCCCCGACCCGAACCACGCTTCAAATGTCTGAACTCGACGTTCCCCCTCGTCAATATGTACAAAAAGTGCCTTTTCTTCACCAATTCAATACCCAGGATTTTGTTGATTTATACTGTGCTTTTTAAATCATTTTAAGGCTGCTTAATCCTGTTTTTAAGAAGTTTTTCTAATTTTCTCAGGTCTTGAAAATATATTTTTTTTAAATCCTTGTGAAACTCGAAATTTGCGAAATAATTACCCCCTACTTCTCTTAAAGCGATTGTTTTGATGAATCAACCCCCGTGATACGTGTATTTTTGATTTTATAAGGCTTATAAATGACTTTATAAAGTTTATAATCGCCTGTTTATTCAATAAAATTAAACCTTTTCAAAGCATTTTATAGTATTTATTGAGTCCAACACATTATTTTTCGAAAAACAATACAAAATCGGATCAGAAATTGACCTTTTGATAAACGGCATACCACGCGCACAGGCAGGCACTTACGGCTGTGTCGTAATTTATTAAGGAATGCTAGCCAATAAATGCCTTATAATATTAGTTAATGCTTCTAAATATACTATAATAGCTTCTACGTTTTTTTATAGGACTTATTTATATAGTTTTTAGATAAGTGTTTGCGATATATGCAAAAAAGTGCTGACCACCACCCGCCGCCGATAGTACCTGCCTGCGCGTGTATGCAGTGTTTTATAAACAGATAAAACACAATGTTTGACAAAAAAATGAGGAGGTGATGGATATAAGGCCGTCGAGAGATTAACGACGCAACAATTTTTTTGATTTTCAAAATTTGATGAAACATTTTATGGCATAAGAAAAATGAACTGCGAAATTTTCAGAAAATTTCATAGCTGTACAGCAGAAGCTTAATACAGATTTCGGGGGAAAATTGCGTTATATGGTCACTAAACGGATTTTGGATTTTTATATACCAAAATGCTCAGCAGTTCGAGCTGGTTCAGGATCAGTTGAAAAAACTATTGGGAAACACTTCTGGAGCGAGTTATAACACTTCAAAGTTGGCGAGTGTCGTATATGGTCACTAAACGGATTTTCGATTTTTATATGTCAAAACGCTCAGCAGGTCGAGCTGATTTTAGATCAGTTGAAAAAACTTTTGGGAAAAATCTCTGTCGCGAGATATCTAGCTTACAAACCGTCCATTTAGCCCCTGAAGTAGTACGTAGTACACCAAAATACGCCAACTGTACATCGGAAAGAAACGGAATGGTGGAGAATTGCCTTTTCAAGGGAAAAAAAAACATTGTCAGGCAAGGTGGGCCGTCGCTTCGGATGGGCTGCCGCTCCACTCTTTCGAAATCGAGGCGCCTGGGCGCTGCGCGCTCCTCGGGCGCCCCGATTTCGAAACCCTGTACGAGCTCGCACCCATCCGAAGCGACTAGGCCCCGGGGTGGCACGAAGCCTTATTTTTAGGCTCAGATCGGGTGTGTAGTTTCATGCCAAACCCATTTCGAACCGAACTATTTTTCGCAACACCGAAAACTGACTCGCCGGGGCGACAACGTTATGTAGTGGGCCGGGGTGACGCCAAACTTTGTAGTGGTATATCTCGCTCCAGAAGTATTTCCCTAAGGTTTTTTCAACTGTTCTAGAATCAGCTCGGCCCGCTGAGCATTTTGACATATAAAAATCGAAAATCCGTTTAGTGACCATATACGACACTCGCCAACTTTGAAGTGTTATAACTCGCTCCAGAAGTGTTTCCCAATAGTTTTTTCAACTGATCCTGAACCAGCTCAAACTGCTGAGCATTTTGGTATATAAAAATCCAAAATCCGTTTAGTGACCATATAACGCAATTTAGCCGATTTCGGCATGACATGCCGCACTTTTCTCTACTTTTAAATTCAGCATTTTCAAACAATAATATCCTCTTTTTTCGTATTAGTTTTGCAAAGCTCTTTCGAAACGAGACAAATTGCATCTGGAAACAGACGGCCAAAACACTTTGATTTACAAATTTTACATAAAAAAAGTGAAGGGTAGTCGAAGAAGCTTACCATTAAAGGTAGGCCAAATTATCGGATATTGGGAATTTAATGAAATATTTTTTCGGAAAACAGTTGATTGAAACTTGAAATTTTCCTGTAATTCCAGAGCTCCACACCCGACGCTTACAATAGAGCTCTCAACATTAAAAAAGGTGCACTTTTCTCTCCACTTTAAATTAAGCACTTTCAAAGCTGTGTTATCCCCTTATTTTGGTGAAAGATATTTTTTCGAAAAACGATACAGAATAGCAGCAGAAATTGACCATTTTATAAACAGAGAAAAACACCATATTTTACAACCAAAAAAGGGGGAAGGGTGAGTAGCAATGGAGCAAGAATCAAAGGGCGGACATTTTTTTGGTTTTGAAATTTTATGAAACATTTTTTTGTAAAACAAAAATTTCGCGCTGGAACTTTTGGCAATAATGAATTGGCAGCAGTAATATTAGGAGCTGTATATAGAATTTTCAACATTAAAAGTTGCACTTTTCTATCGACATTTGCATGCAGCGCCACAGCCACAGTACGGTGTGCAAGCGTCACTTCCCGGCGTCGGCGTACAGTACCCGGGGCGGCGGTGGTAGAATTGGCAAAATGTTGGGCAATCTGAATAAAGTTATAAATAGAGAGCGGGCTAGAGAGTACGTGAGAGAGAGAGAGTGAGAGAGACAGATAGAGTGATGGAGAAGAAAGATAGAGGGAGGGAGAGAGACAGAGAGAGAAAGAGAGAGAGAGAGCGGGAGAGAGAGAGAGAGCGGGAGAGAGAGACGGAGAAAGAGAGAGAGAGACGTACCTTTAACCTTCCCAAAAGTTGTCAACTTCCGGTAGCCGCGGTGCATTTTCAGTGGAAGCACGCCAAAAACTCGATCCTAAAAACTGTGTTAAAACTATTTAATATTTTTTAGAATCTATATTTTTTTAGTTTATTGCTTAGCCTTAATTCCGTATTAAAAATTTCGGTGAAAAAATAGAGTTTTAAATTTTCAGGTAACGGCAGACTTTTGTGAAACTGTATTAATGGGTCGAAGGCGATTTGTAATTAGCCAGCTAATAGAATAAAATTCTTATTAAATTCCGGTTTAATAACCTTTTTTTGCTGCTATTCTAAATCATGTCATAACTTACTATCGTAATTATTATTGTTATTTTTTTCGTTTTTTACTTCATTTTCTTTAACAAACCTTTAAATTTTAGCTGTTTTGAGGGGAATCCTAGGTGCTTTCGTCCTATCGGGGGGATTTTTCTTTATTATCTAATTTTTTTCAATATAAACAGAGATTGTTTTTGTAAGCTTTTCTCTACTTTTTGTTTAAAAATCCAAAAAAATATCGATTTCAATCCAAAAAATGGCGATTTTTGGAGAAAATTACATTTTTAGGCATTTTGTTATTTTTTAGAAATGCCTGTCCACTGTAACATAGCTAATTTTTACCGAAAAAACGATGAAATCAATTACTATTATATTTCTGGGGCCTTCGAGAAAAATCCCCCCCCCCGATAATGCACAAGAACCGGAGCTATTGATGTTAGGGGGGGCATCTTTTTTTTGGCGCCCAGTCTTAGGCTTAGGCTTAGCTTTGACTTCGCGTACGCTTGGCTTATACTTAGCTTAGGCCTAGGCTTGGCTTAGGCTTAACTTAGGCTTGGTTTTGGCTTAGCTTAGGCTTAGTCTATGCTTAGTCTAGGCCTAGCTTAGGCTTGGCCCAGCCCTAGCTTAGGCTTGTTCTAGACTTAGCTTAGGATTGGGCTTAAGCCTGGACTTGGCTTAGGTTATGCTTAGGCTGGGCTTGGCATGGTCAGCTTAGACTTGGAGACAAGCTTAGGCCGGAAAAACCTCCAAAAAAAGATGCCCCCCCCCCCCCCTAACATCAATAGCTCCCAAGAACCTATAAATGTTTTCTCTAATTTTTTCTGACTAAACCTTTGAAGTTTTTGGCGAAATTTACCGTCGGAAACTTTATGCGTATTTATGGTATTCCTGAAATCGGTTCTTTTTAATTTTGAAAAATATAATTTAATTTGAATTAATTTAAAATATAGAAATAGCTATTTTATATGCCAAATTCACCCCACCTGCAAGTCGAAAATTGCCCCGGCGGCGAGGGCGCAAAACAAAAGGGCAACGATTAGAACACGCATGTTTCTTCTGTTGGTGAACGCGGGGGGTGTGGAAGGTTTTGAAGTTTCAAGTTGCCTATGGGTCTGTCCGCTTGAAATCGCGATAAGCATTGTTTATCACTCCGCCCCAAACCGAGAAAAAAACTGTTTTCTACACCCCCAAAATCCGCCGTGGTTTCGATAGAACAAACAGAATTAGGCGGCCTTGCATAAACAATCCAAAAAAGGCCAGTTTTTCTTTTCCATCAATTCCAACGATTCTTTGGCGTTATCGGGGGGGGGGGAGTAATTATTGCATATAAGCCTAAGAACGCTTAATAATCATCATGCAAGCGTCATCATGACGTTTTCATTAAAATTTAGCGAGATTTAAAGCAGAAAACAAGCTAACAACTTTTTTAAAACGTAGATTTTCGAAAACTGGCCATTTTTGGTCAAAAATTTATATTTTTTGTAAATGGATACTACAAAACAAACTCCCCCTGATAACAGAAAAGTACCAAATAGCAACAAGGCTGGTAGTGAGAGAGAGGGAGGGAGAGAGAGAGAGAGCGAGAGCGAGCGAGAGAGAGAGCGAGAGATGGAGAGAGAGAGCGAGAGAGCGAGCGAGAGAAGGAGAGAGAGAAAGAGAGAGAGAGGGAGAGAGCGAGAGAGGGAGAGAGAGAGAGAGAGAGCGAAAGAGAGCGAGCGAGAGAGAGATATTCTCTAGACATACCGTTTCTTATTTCGTATCCGGCAATTGAATAAAAAATTAGCAGATCCGGCTTGCCTCCCGTGATCGGTAGCTCTGATGAAAAATCATTGATAGCACTCGCCATGGCGGCCGTCGATGGGGCGATCGGGACCAGCCAGAAACAAGTAGGTTTCGACATTGTTGAAGAATTGGAGCTTCCAATGTCTTCAGCTCGACCTTGACGTGAAGACGGCCTTGGAAGTTACGGTAGTTGAAGCGACGCCCGTGACGGTCGATGAAGCGGAAACGGACACCTCGTTCCTCAACAGCCTCATCCAGCGCATCATGAGTGCCGGGTTGAAGCAGGAGCCCGAAGCCTACATACCGGTGCGTGGGGCCAAAAAGCAAAAAATTTGCCGCGGGAGGGGTCCGAACCCGGGTTGCGTGGATGGCAGGATAGAGCGTAACCAATTAGCCACGTCAGTTAGTTAATTTTAGAACCCGATCCCCGGCCTTGCCTTCGCCCAGCTGAAGGCCCCGTTCGTCGACGTTTGCATCACGCCAAGAGAGGTAGCAATTCGGAAGAATCTCCGCTAGCCTGCCCTCTCCTCTTCCTCAACAATCTCTGCTAGCCTGCCCTCTCCTCTTCCTCAACAATCTCTGCTAGCCTGCCCTCTCCTCTTCCTCAACAATCTCTGCTAGCCTGCCCTCTCCTCTTCCTCAACAATCTCTGCTAGCCTGCCCTTTCCTCTTCCTCAACAATCTCTGCTAGCCTGCCCTCTCCTCTTCCTCAACAATCTCTGCTAGCCTGCCCTCTCCTCTTCCTCAACAATCTCTGCTAGCCTGCCCTCTCCTCTTCCTCAACAATCTCTGCTAGCCTGCCCTCTCCTCTTCCTCAACAATCACTGCTAGCCTGCCCTCTCCTCTTCCTCAACAATCTCTGCTAGCCTGCCCTCTCCTCTTCCTCAACAATCTCTGCTAGCCTGCCCTCTCCTCGTCCTCAACAATCTCTGCTAGCCTGCCCTCACCTCTTCCTCAACAATCTCTGCTAGCCTGCCCTCTCCTCGTCCTCAACAATCTCTGCTAGCCTGCCCTCTCCTCGTCCTCAACAATCTCTGCTAGCCTGCCCTCTCCTCTTCCTCAACAATCTCTGCTAGCCTGCCCTCTCCTCTTCCTCAACAATCTCTGCTAGCCTGCCCTCTCCTCTTCCTCAACAATCTCTGCTAGCCTGCCCTCTCCTCGTCCTCAACAATCTCTGCTAGCCTGCCCTCTCCTCGTCCTCAACAATCTCTGCTAGCCTGCCCTCTCCTCTTCCTCAACAATCTCTGCTAGCCTGCCCTCTCCTCTTCCTCAACAATCTCTGCTAGCCTGCCCTCCTTCAACACCTCTTCTAGGTCCGCCGCCTCACCCGACTAGCCATCGAGTCGTTCAAGTCAGAGCCGATGCTGCTCCGTATCCCTGCGTACGCTTTCCTCAATGATCTCTGCCAGCTCTCTTCTTCTTTAGTACCGAAGGCCCGGTGCACATTTTCGGTGATCTGCACGGCCAGCTGCGCGACCTGCGCATGATGATCAACCACATCGGGATGCCGGGGGCGGACGGCACCGGGGTGCACTATATGTTCTTGGGTGATTACGTCGATCGCGGGTTGCAGGTAGGGTTGTCGGTTTCTTTTTCTAAGCTAAGCCTAGCCTAAACCTAAGCCCAACTAGCCTAATGTTAGCGAAGCCTTGGCCTAAGCCAAACCTAAGTCAAGCCTAAGCCAAGCCCAAGCCTAAGCTCAAACCTAAGCCAAGCCTAAGCCAAGCCCAAGCTTCCACCTAGGCCTAACCTATCCTCAAACCGAAACTAGGCCTAAGCCTAAGCCCACGCCTAAGCTTTAGCCGAAGTCTAAGACAAAGCCTGAGCGGAGCCTGAGCTTAAGCCAAGCCTACGCCTAAGCCAAGCTGAAGCTTAAGACTAAGCCTAACCTCAGTCTAAGCCGTCAAAACTAACCCGTCCTCCTTTCAGGGCGCCGAGACGTTCCTACTGCTGGCGGCGATGCGATGTCGCTACCCGAAATCGGTTTTTCTGTTACGGTACGTTTAGAGAGGGGCAGGCTAGCCGGGATCTCTGGGAATTAGGCAGCTGTGGGCAGGGTAGCAGCGACGATTTCGGAATTGCAGCGGCAACCACGAGGACCTCAACACGGCCATCACGTACGGGCTGTACGACGAGGTGATGGAGCGCTACGGCGAGCAGCAGTGGGTGGTGTTTAGAGGGTTGACCCGGTTCTTTGGCATTATCGGGGGGGGGACAAATTTAAATTTAAATTCTAAGGTGTTTTTTTTACTATTCCTAAACGAAAAACCTTACAAATTTCTATAAAAAATGCGGTTCTTGTGTATTCCCGGGGGGGGAAAGAATTCGCGGGGGAAACCAACTTTTTTTTTGTCGAGCCTGGTGGGGATAGTAATCCAATATAAAGTGTTTTTACATTGTTTTTAGCAAAATTTAAGCCTATTTGAATCGGAAAAACTTTTTAAAAAGTTAGAAAAACGCTTGAAAAGTCGAAAATTTGGTCATTTTTGGACCGAAAAAATCGATTTTTCGACCTAAAATTAAATTTTTTAATTAAATTTTGTAAATTTTTTATGTTTAGGAATAGCTATAAACAATTTAGAAACACTTCCACTATTTAGATAAAAAATCTAGGCTTGGGCCAAAAAAAAGTTCAGTTTCCCCCCCGAATTCTTTCCCCCGGGAATACACAAGAACCAAAAATGCTAAAACATAGATTTTTCGGGCCAAAATGGCAGTTTTTGATCATATATTTATTTTCTGAAAAATTTCGAAAGTTTTTCGAACTGAAATATAGTTATATTTTGCTAAAAACACTATTAAGCACTTCCTCATAAGATACTAGACATTTCTAGACTTATACAACTCCCCCCGCTAATGCCAAAGAACCGATTAATTATCTATTTAATTCAATTATCTTTTTTCAGCGGCGAGTACGTGTGGCTGCACCTGATCTCGATGTTCAACTGGATGCCCATCGCCGCCCTGATAGGCACCAAGGTGTTGGCCATGCACGGAGGGCTGTCCCCAAATCTCGCCAGCCTCGAACAGATCAATCAGGTATTTTAAAGGGACTCGAACAGCAAGAAATCGCGCTCCAGATTGCCCGCCCCACCCTTATCCCACCGTACGGACTGATGTGCGATCTCGTCTGGGCCGACCCGGATGCGCTGGTGGTTGCTTATAAGGAGAGGACAGGCCAGATGTTGAGGCAGAGGAGAGGGCAGGCTAGCAGAGATTGTTGAGGAAGAGGAGAGAGGGCAGGCTAGCAGAGATTGTTGAGGAAGAGGAGAGGGCAGGCTAGCAGAGATTGTTGAGGAAGAGGAGAGGGCAGACCTGCAGAGATTGTTGAGGAAGAGGAAAGGGCAGGCTAGCAGGGATATTGGTGCTTTTGCATTAGCGTGGCTATTTTTTACTCGAAAAGCCATCCAAAAACGAAAAAAAATGGGAAATTTTATCGAAAATGAGCCATTTTCTGTAGAAAAACCCGATATCTTTGTTGAAAATTAAAGAAAGCAACAATAAATGCACATCAATACCCGCTGCTAGCCTGGCCGGCCCTACAACATCGCTCCGCCCAGCCACTAATGCTCCAAATTTCCAGGCTGACCCGCGGGCCTCGTGGGCCATGTCCTCGCGCGGCATCTCGTTCTCATTCGACGAGCGCGCGGTCATCTCCTTCTGCCACCGGACCAAGGTCGACCTGATCGTCCGCGCCCACCAGATCAACACCGAGATGCTGCAGCACGGCCACAAGTGGTTCGGCCAGACGGGCCGCCTCGTCACCCTCTTCTCGGCGCCCAACTACCTCAACATGGCCAACTCGGGCGGCGTGCTCGTCGTCGACGCGAATGACCACGGGGTAGGCGATGGACAGCATCTTCATTTGTAGTGTTTTTAGTAAAATAAAACCAGATTTTCAACTAGAAAACCTATTTAAAGACTTTGAAAAGATGAGAAAGTTGAGATTTTGCTCAAAAATCGGCCTTTTTAGTCGAAAAAATTAGAGAAAGTTTTTACGTTTTAAAACAGTTTAGAAACACTTTCGCTATTTATTTTTGAGAAATTGGACCCTAGAAAATGCTCCACTAAAAAAGTAAAGCTGGCGAAGCCTGAAACTTGCCTAAAACTCTGGATTACCTAAAACGACATATTAAAAACGTTTTCACTGTATTTCGCGAGATCTCCCGCGTTTGCAGATGTCGGCCCGCGTGCTCGCCTTCCGCCCGGCCTCGTCACGACTCCTAAAGAAGGCGCGGAAGCAGCAGCGGAAAAGCGCCGCCCGCGCCGCCAGGGCCGCCGCTCTCCCGGCCAACGTTTAAAAGAATCGCTCTCTCTTCTCCTGCTGCCCATTCTCCGCATTCCTTATTTTTAATCGTTCATTTGTTTACGTCAAAACTCGCTCGTTTTCTATTTCTATCCACAATCATCATCATCCGTTTTCCCTTTACGCGTCAGCGCCCGGAATAAAGATTTGACCATTTTGGATGACATTTATCTTGGCCAGAATGACACGCACAAACAAAGAAAATAGGCAATTCAACGTAATAAACATTACAAAAAGATAGACAGTGAGATCATTGCAAAATTAATACCGCTCATTTCTCTTCCAAAGTGAGGTTCTGGTCGTAATACTGGATAACTTGCGCCGGCCACTTTGTATTCGCTTCGGCCATCGGCACCAATCGGCAAGCCTTGTTCGTGAATTTCACCTAAAAATAGAAATTATTTGCAAGTTGTCATCAAGGATTAGGTTCTTTTTGCATTATCGGGGGCGGAGGGCGCAAAATGTTTGTTTTAGGATCCTGTAATTCATATAGAAAAAGCGAAAGTGTATCACAACTGTTGTTTACTATTCCTAAACGTGAAATCTTTAGTACAAAAGATACAAAAAAAAAGATTTCTCGACTAAAATGGCGGTTTTTGACCAAAATTTCGACTTTGAAACGTTTGAGATAGTTTTTCTAGCCGAAATATAGTTTCATTTTATTAAAAACGTTCTTAAAATATCCTCCTAGTAAAAGTTACTAGACATTTCTAGACATACAAAAAATCGGGCTCCCTCCAATATATCGATAATGCGAAAGTACCAAGAATTACCAAGTAATATCGTTCCCCCGAATTCTCGGCCAATCCGAGAATCTTTTCCACTTCGGCCGCCTCGTTTGCCAGCTCCTCTTCGCCCTTGATCATCGTTTTCTACAAAGCAACAACAAATAAACGTTTTCGAAAATTCCCTACCACTTTCAATAGTTGTCGCTCGTAATTCGCAATCGCTTCCGGGCAAGAGACGTTTTCTTCTGGTTCCCATGTCGCGTTGCTCGGGTTCGTGTCTCCGACTTTCCACCTAGGAAGGGAAGGTTGAAGACGCTCGTAAAACGCTAACAAGAATACGTGTTTAAACAATCGAGTTTCTGTACCGGACCAAGTGTACCTTGTGCAGAATTTTGCGCTGATTTGGAGCCGGTTTTCAAAATCTGCAAAACGATCAGACGGAATAAATTATGTTCCTTTTAGGGCGAAATACGCAACAATTCGCCGGGATTGCGCCATTTTTAGCCTTTTTCGAACCTAAAAATCTTTTTGACCTTATCGTCTCGCAGCTTTTGAAAACAGGCCAGGAATCCGCACAAAATCCTGCACACGATACGCCTGGTACCGTACGGAAACGCACTAAAAAACGCCTCCTTGTAAGAAAGCGCCTTACTGGATCAAATATTCCAATCGGCCTTCCCGCCGCCGCTTCTGAAGCACTTTTTCGACCTCCAACGGTTGTAGTTCTGCGCTTTCGGCCGTCATCAAGACAAAGTGATAATGGTTGCTGAACTCAGCCGTGAAAATAAATCATTTAAAAAATTAAAGATATCACAGCCCATATTCAATGGCATCGGTAAATCTACTTAAGCATTCGATAAGTTATTTATTCTATCAAACAAAACAACGTTCAAACTAACAAAATCTAGGCGGGAATCGATATGTCTGGCGACGGCGAGAGAGTTGCACGATAATCACCATTCGCGCCATCGTTGGAAGTTGGTGTAGCCGCGTTGCTTTCTCGTTCCTTCCATCGGGCCACCCGGTCTCGAACCACTCGCACTTCCTTGGCCGTCAGATTGTACGAAACGGTTGGCCTGGCCGGGACGCCGCTCGGAAATCCATTCTTGAAGTGCTGCAGGATTTCCCGGGTGGTTTTTCCTGAAATTGGCAAGTTTAATACGACTGCTACCTGCTAGAAAAATAGCTAGCTGAAACTATAAAAAACCCGAAAAACTATCTAAAAACGTTAAAAAATTTGAAAACGTCGAAATTTTGGTAAAAAATCGGTCATGTTTGGTCGAAAAATTGAGATTTTTTACATTTTTTAATAATATTTCCGATGTTTTTGAAGTTTAGGAATGGTAAAAAACCACTTAGAAAAAAATTTTAATAGGTGCTCAATGTTTGTAATAAAATAAAACTGTATTTCAACTAGAAAACTATCTAAAAACGTTCAAAAACTCGAAATTTTGGTCAAAGATTGACTATTTTTAGCCGAAAAATCGATATTTTTGATTTTTAATGCGAAAGGACCTAAAGAAAACGTACCCATCTGCACCATCTTGATCACCTCATCCTCCATAAGCGAAGAGTAGAGCCGCAGTGCTTCCGGCGGGCACTCGTGGGAATGATGCCGACAGAAAAGGACTAACGCCCGTCCGATGTCGTCGAATCGAACCTAGAAAAAGTTCATAATTTCAAACCTGCCTAAACAGATACCTGTACAAATGCCGTGCAATCAGCCAAGTCTCTATTGCTCGGCTTCCGCAACCCGACACGCGTACAACGATATCGCCGGCACTTGGGATTGGAGTCGCGGATGGAGAAGCTGCAGCTCAGCTCGAACTCGAGCTCCTTCAGCCAACGGATGAAGGCCTTATCGTTTTCCAGGGACATGTCGAACAATTCGGCCCTGAAAATAGAGGAACTGGCTTCTGCCGGAGCATAAAAAACTCGGTACTGGACTGTTAGCGGGGGGGGGGGCTTAGACTATTTTCATAAAATTTTACATAGTTTTTATACATAATAACAACAAAAACATTATAAAATACAAAATTGTATGAGAAATGGCCAAAAAGGTCAAATTCCGAATTTTCAAAAATTTGTTTAACTTTCTCGCAATCAAAAACAACTAAAAACACCATAAAAACTCCCCGCTAACCTGCTGAACTGCTGAAATTTCCTTACGCTTCCTCATGCTTCTCGGCATAATGCGACACCATCTTCTCGTGCGAATAGAATCGCCCATCGCAACCGGGGCAGATCACTGGCGGAAGCTCTTTTTCCGGTGCTTTTGCTTTCAGGAGCTCCGGATGCTTGCTCCTGCGATGGGAAGGGAGACTGGCGGCACTCCTGAAAAGATGATTATGCAAAAATTACCAATATTAACTCACCTGTAGCGCCTGCCACATTCTTCACAACTGTACGGGAACAAGTCCGCCGGCTTGTAGATGAGCTCGAGCTGCGGATGCTTTCTTTTGATGTGGCGAATGAGGTTCGTTTGGTCCGGAGTAGCGTACTTGCAGATGTCGTCCGGGCAAACATAGCGTCGATCGTGGTTCATTTTCCAAAACTAAAAATCTTGAAAATTGCGGCGTTGCGGCTTTGTAGTTTGTCGGGCAATCGAAACGCGCATATAGCGCTAAATCACGCCCCAGGGATCGTATATGGTGGCGGCCGATCCGCCCGCTCTGTTAACAGCAGGTCATTCCAAAACCGGTGGTTCTTGAGCATTATCGAGGGGACCGAACTTTTTGATATAAGTTTAGAAATGTCTAGTGACTTCAAGGAACTAATTTATTAGTGTTTTTTTTTGTAAATATATCGGTATTTCAACTGGAAAAACTATCAAAAACTTTGAAAAAAATCGGTCAGTTTTGATATTGAACAAAATTTGTACCGTTTTTACGTCTATGCATAATGACAAACAGCTTAGAAACACTTTCGCCATTTATATTTTAAAAATTGGATGCTAATAAACAAGCCCCCCCCCCCGATAATGCGAAGAAACCAAAAGATAATACGTAGACGTAAAAGCTTTTGCCAATTCAGCAACCTCCTAAGGAGATACATTTATAAAAACAAGGACACAATCAATGCCCGGCAAACCATCACAATGTGAAAACCCGTGCGCTACAAATGGTCAAAATTGAGAGTTACAATCAAGAATACACGTAGAGGTTAGAAAAAAAAAAAGTGATAGCGATTGAGTCTTAGGCAACAAACGATTTTTCGAATCCGCAAAACGGGCAGTTGAGTTGAAGCGGTCGGTCGGCGTATCGGCTACACGACAGAAATAAACATAAAAGCAATAAACAATACCTGGAAGCAACCTCAAGAATCGGCGAGCAGCTCGTTTCGTGTTGTTTGTAAGTGTCGATCAACCAAGCGTCCAGCTGTTGGATGTCTGGACTCTGAAAAAGTTTGCGGTTCTTGTTAGTCTTTTTCCGGTTCTTTCGCATTATCTCGGGGGGGACCGACCTTGCTTGTACCGGCGCAAAAAAGTCGATAACTTAAATAGGAGATATGTTTCTAATGTTTTCTGAAAATATAACGATATTTCGACTAGAAAACTAGCCAAAAACTTAAAACAATGGGATTTTATCAAAACTCCGCCATTTTCGGACGAAAAACCGATATTTTCGATATTTTTAATAAATTTGGAGAATTTTTGCGTGAAATACTTTTACTATCTAAATTGCAAACCCAGATCCTAAGAAAAAAAGTTGTTGCCCCTCGACAATGCGCAAGAACCCGTTTTTCATTTTTTCCACATTCAAATTTTTTTTACAAACCCTCACCCAAGACTCCGAAAAACGATGCGCAAAACGACAATTGGCGCAGTAGAGGAAGTTTTCGTCGAGGATAGCGCGACTCTAAACTAGAATATTCTATCGTTACTAGCAAACCCACCTTACATGATGGGCACTCGAGCGTATCGGCAAAATTCGCCTCGTAGCAGGCACGCTCTTCGTCTTGTTGAAGTTCGAGGTATTCTAAGAAACCCAGTGTTCCAGGAAGAACCAAGGAAATACCATCTTGCAGCAGCTCAACCTGCAGTCGCATCACCATCTCGTCGTCCAGCTCCTCATCGGGGAATTCGGCGGCCGCTGTGCTCCGGATCAGGGATTCGACCTAAAAACGATAGTTCAGACATCTTTCAGAGCAGTTTTTAGACAAAACAGGTAGTTTGGCGACCGTTATCTTTTAAAATTCTGCTTAATTCGGAGACTCCCAAAAGCATACCGAGCTCATCTTTCGCCGTTGGTCGAGCAGCTCGAGGCGCTTGTCCTTTAGATTCGCGGCACATCGCTGAAAACAAATAAGAAATCTAGGAAATTGAAGGAAACCTTTCGCAGATCCGAGAAATATCGTTCTGCACGCCCATGGTTCTTGTATTGGCCGATTCTGCTGGTCATCCTGAAAAGAAAGCATAAAAACGAGGATAGAAGAATAAAAACTTTACAATCAATAAAAAATGCAAAAGAATTAATTGATTTTCGAAAATCGATTTTGAAGATTCGAAATTTCGTGCAGAAACCGGCATTCCGCGTTAAACCAAAAAACGAATTCCGTCATTCCGTTCCGTCACTTTTCTCTAAATAATAAAAACTTTTTATCTTGTTTTTATCTTTTCTTTTAGACTTTTAGACTATACTTTTAGAGAAGCTTCGTAAAGTTTTAAAATTATAACTTTACTATTAGCTTGAATTTAGCTTTAATTTATTACAATAATTTTAAAGGATGATTTTCGCCTATTAAAACGATTCATTCTGCTGGCTTACGTTTATCTTTTAAAATTGTCGCAATAACCAATACTAAGACTGTTAGCAACAAAACACGCAGCTAAATTCACGGAGCACCTATACGAGTGGGCGGGCCATTTGAACGGGATCATTTTGCGTTTTCTCCTCTCGAAAATCCCCGATCTTTCCGCTGTTCTCTGCCCCTCCAATGCACCTACCCGTATAGCCGCTCTTTTCTTGCAGATGGCCGGAGATGGCGATGGCCAAGATGAGTCAGCCCGTCCCAGCCTGTCAATTGAAATTTTGTCGCCACCGAAGGTACACCTGAAGCGGAAACAAGACCAGGAAGATCAGGCAAGCACTTTTGAGTTTTTAAATTTTTATTTTAGGACCTCGACGGTGAGGAGATGCCGGCGGCGAAGAAGGATTCGCGGAAGCGCACGACTGCAACGGATGAGTCGCCATCGAAAAAGTTGAAGGAGCCGAAGAGGGCGGCCGAGTCCAGCGATACAAGCCGAAAAACGAAGCAGCCGGTATGGAATTCGGTAAATCCCTTTGGACGCCGTTAATTTCATCGAAAATCGGTTCTTTCGCATTATCGGGGGGACGAAACTTTTTTCCACAAGTTTAGCAAGCTCTAGAGACTGAATATTAATCATTTTAATAGCGTTTTTAGTCATATAAAACTATATTTCAACGATATAAACTTATAAACTTTAAAAATGTTTGAAAAGTCGAGATTTTGGTCAAAAACGGCAAATTTTTGACGAAAAATCGACATTTTTGTATTTTTAAGTGAAAACTTGTAACGTTTTTGCGTTTAGGAAGGTTAAAAGCAGTTTAGAATTGCTTCCACTGTTTATTAGTCCCCCGGACAATGCGAAAGGACCCGAAAATCTACTCCCTTGAAAGGCAAAGAACGTTGTTGGTGATTTTGTTAAGTTTTTGTTAGTGATTTTTAGGTGAACTCTCCGGAAATCACTTTATTCTTAAAAATTCCATTTAGACGCTCGGCCACTTCATCCCCGACGCTGCGAAAGTGAAGAAAAGCACTGCCGCTGCACCAAAAAAGACTGTGTCCCGCTCCAAGAAGGACGGCTTGGCGCCGATCGACCACGTGGCCCTCGTCGGCTTCTCCGAAAAAGAGGTGGCCGACTGGAAGGAGAAGCTCGGAAATGGGCTCTTCGAAATCAGCACTGGTCATGTGGTAAGTAATTTCGACGTCATTGTCATAGAATTTTAGTCAATCGCTCATACTCTGAACTGCGTCGTCCTCAACTCCACCGGCTCCACAAAGCTGCTCCGAGACTGGAACGCTCTCTTCCTCGGCGCCTTCCATGGATGTGGGCTTTTCCTGACGTCACCATCCTACTTTTTTTAGGCAATTTCGCCGAGGTCAGCTTCCTCGAGGAATGCGCCAAGAAGCAGGAGGTTGCTGATCTCTTGCCCCATCAACTCCTCCGTGAAAACCTTGGGATTGTGAGGATTATTTAAAAAAAAATATTATTTTCTTTTAGAGACTTTCTGCGGCTCCGAAAACGTTGCCAGAAGGGTGTACGCTTGACGCAAAGCGAGGCGCGCAATTGTAAGCTGCACTGGAATATTGGATTCATAGATTTTAGGGCCTTCAAGCTTCAAGATCTCCAAGCCCAAAAGCCGTATTTCTGCGACCCGGTCTTCGAGAGGCTGCTTTTTGTGCACGGGACCCGCCGTACCGATGTGGCCCGGGTGCAGGAGTTGTGCCGGTAACGCTTGATATGTCGATATTCGGTTCTTCAACGTTATCGGAGGGTGGGGGAAGGGGAGGGGAGCAGAATTTGTTTTAAGGGGAATTATTTAGATAAAATTGGAACTTTTTGAATGTTTTTGGATGATTTTTTAGCGCAAATAGACCTTTATATTACTAAAAACAATATTAAAATACTTCCTACTGAATTACTAGGCGTTTCTAGACTTGGACAAAAGGAATTTTGTCCCCCCTCCCGCTGATGCTAAAGAACTCAAAACCGGCATCCGGAAAGAAACCGGAACGCTTCTGTGTATTTTTAGAAACATCTTATAATTTTCAGAATTCTGCAAGCCTCGAACCGGAAAATCACACGTGAGGAAGGCGGAAATTGGATAAAGATGCGCCACGAGCCGAAAAACGCGGACCGTCTCGCGTCGATGGTGGTGCTCGTTTTTCACGACGAGCCGTCGAGGCAGGAATCAAATTTTTTGGCTGAGCTTTTGCGTTCAGGGAGGAGAAGGCGCCGGCCGATGCGATCAAGCGGCTGCTGATCAAGCGGGTTCCGGTGCTCAACGAGGAGCTGCTCCATCAGCTCATCATGCAGCTGGTGAACTAGAGTTTTATTGCCTTATGCCATGTTTTCTTTAGGAACGCCCCACAAAGGAAAATTGTCTCCTGCTCAGCTATCAACATTGGAATGAGAAATGCAGGTAAGGCCGTCCCGTTTTGGCAAATTTCTTCATTCTAGGTGGGATGACACGGAAAAGCTGTTCAATTGGGTGACCGGGACCGATGACGCGATGCCGGAAGAGCTGGACGCTTTTCTTGAAAGTAATATTTTTTGGCCTAACAAGTATTACATTTTGATGAATTTCAAAAGGTGATTTCGTGACTGAAAAGTTTGCAGCCGGAAACATATCTACTTTGTTGTGTAGATAGTATTTCGAGGGATTTCCGGGAACCGTTTTAGAAACTATGAACAAATCTCGCGGAAATACCCAAAATGTCAATTTTGCGGGGGTTTCTCGACGCAATTCGATAGAGCGTCGAAAAATATACTTCGAGTTTTAATAACAGCTGAATGCATTTTTGTAATATAAAACGTTTATAGCAAAAATTCGGGGTCAAAACGGGTCACCTTTGAAAATAAGGTCAAAAAGCTATTTTTCTTCGTCATTTGCAATATGCCATCGGATACAAATGAAAAAAATATATAATTAGAGTTTTCATGGTAGCCGAAAATAATGTAAAATCTCCCTTTCAGAAACAAAGCCGCGCAAGGAGCCGGCAATCTCGCGCTGCCGCGCCGCCATGACGCCAATGGATCGGACGATATCTCAAGACACGTCAGTACTAACACCGGGGCATCCAAATAAATGTGGCTTTGCGCCGATCGGCTTGGTTGTTGTGCGTTGTGTGGCGCTGGTCGCTTCGTGTTCGTTCGTGGCCGAGTTGTTTTTTTTTTGAAGAATTTGGAGGCATGAAATTTACAGTGGCAGGCTTCGCAAATCCACCAAAAGTATTTCAATAAATGAAAATTCGCCAAAAAACTACCTTTTTGATAAAATAGAGCCACGTTCCCGGCTAGAATTGAAAGCTGCGTTTCAGTGACATCTCGATGAGGACGTCCACTGACGATGCCGAAGATTTGCACATGGAATTCGAGGAGGAGGTTCGTCTGAACGATATGGAGGGCAGGAGCGAGGTGTATTTTGAAAAATGAAAGTAAATTCAATTTAGAGACCCGATTCGCCCGAGCGCCAGCCCCAAACCATCACGTTTGCACCGGCGCCAAAACAGCCAATGGTCCGCTGTGACAATGGAATGCAGGTGAGCTTTCCTCTAGTGTTTTTCGTTCTTTAGCACTCCCGAGTGGGATCCGAATTTTCTTCCAAGGATCCAGTTCTTTTTTCTTCCAAAGATCCAGTTTTCAGGTCTTCAACTTCGACCTGGAAGACACGTTGCCGTTGCCGGCACCCCAGCTGTGCCGTGACTGGGTGGATATGGTACCGCTGATTGCCAACGCCTACAACCGAATCCCGAGGGGTCGAAAGGTAAATTTTTTGGTTTAGTTATTTTGTTATTTTGTTTTTGGTGCAAAAGGGTTCGACAAAATTCGAAATTTTTATCGAGCGGCGATTTTTCGTCGAAAAATTGATCGTTTTGGACTTGTAAAGATTTTACGTTTGGACCGACTGGATTTCTTTTCAAAAATTGGACATTAATTAAGAAAATGGGTCGACCGAAAACGCTAAAGAGCCTAGAAATGATTAATTCTTTGCTTTTAGTTGAGAATCGCGCCGGCGAATGAACTTGCCTACGACCGCGATTTCGAGCGGATGGCCACGTTGAACCCAAAGTTCTACCCGTCGATGCTCATGCACTTTTTCGATAAATTCCTGTTGGTTTTTACTTTGTTAATTTGTAGTTTTTCATTGTAATGGGAATTTTCAAATTTTAATCTGTTTTTTTTAGATACGCATCTTCCGGCGATCAAGTGCCCGATCCGCATCGAATCGCGAAGGTCGTTCACGAAATCCTGATCGTATGCACCTTTTCCCTCTGCGTAACCCGGAAATTTTAGAACGAAAAGTTTGAGCATCACGCTGAATGTACGCAGCCGATCCATGTGAGAAATTTTTACGTCTATTTTAACTATTTTTTTTCTGCCTAGGCATTCCTCGGGACGCTGAGCCGGATTCTAGGCAAATGTCCGCCCGTCGACGCTTCTTCGCGGTACTACTGGCTCTCAGGTATGCAGATAAATTTTCCGATTATCTGGGCAGCTAATTTTTCTCCTGCGCACAATGCCTCTTAGCGTAATAGTAACTGTTATAATACTGTTCTAGTAAAATCTAACTATATTTCAAGCGCAAAACCTATCGAAAACGGCAAAAGTTTGCTCGAAGATCGGCCATTTTTAAGAGAAATGTTCAGAAAAATGTCTATGTCTATAAAAAAGCGTTTATAATAGTAAAGATTTATATTTTGGAATTTTGAGCGAAAATCTATATATTTTTTAACAATTTGGAGGTATTAGTGTTTGCCTTTTTTAGTGTTCTCCGAAGTGAAATTGGATTCCCTCGGCGTCGACGAGGCCACGCGATTGGAGAAACCGGCTGACAAGTCCCAGGTTGGAATTTTCACTTTTTAGAATCAGTCCCTATAGAGAGCAACGGACATTCTACTCAACAAGCGCGACGATTTCCGGAAGCTGCTCGTAGATGTTTTTTGGTGAGCATTTTTGTGGGCAATTCCGAAGGACCTGGTTTATTATCGGGGGAGTCCAGTTTCCTAGAAAGTTCTCTTGCGCCAGCGCTTTTAGATTACAGTATTTTGAGCTTTGCTTAGCGGACCGTGTTGAAACACTCCCAAAAAGGGGCAAAATCGAAAACATTTAGCGATAAATCTCCGCATCGTTTAGGAAATAGATCCGCGTGGAGTCGTGTTTCGACACTGAAATTTCGAAATTATGAATTTCGACACTATGATTGGATTTCCATCACAATTTCGACCCTTCGGAACAGCGTTTCATTTAGCACGGCCACCGCCTGTTATCCGGAACTTCAACTCATCCTAGTAGAGCTGTTGGAGTGGGACCTATATGCCTGCGAGATCAGGGTCTGTGAGCCGGAGACGCAAAGGTACTGGCCAATTTCTCCACGAATACCAAATAATTTTGTTTAGCTTAAAAATCGACTACCCGGCCGCACTGCACAAAATCCCGTTGGCCTATCTGTTGTTGAACGGCACCGACGTGGAGTGCATTCGGTAATTTTTTGCCATACATTTTAATAATAATACCAGCGCCCAAAACCCGCTTCGCGGGCCTTGGGCGCTGGAATTGGGCCTTTGCATGAAAAATTTGACTTTCCGATAGCTCGGGTCCTTCGGACCCTTTCCCCCACCGACCACACACGCGCGGGCAAATTGCAAGAATGAGGAAATTTGTGTTTTTCATATTATGCAAATTACCCCGAAAAATGAATAAAACCGGCTTTAACTTTGTAAACTTGTATTTTTTCGAAATTCTGAAAACGCCATCGGAAAGAGGAGGGTCGATTTTCTATAGTGACAAAGGATCAGCGCATTTTATCCAGGGGAAGGCCCTTAAATCGGCCCTCGAAAGTGACATCCACACACACACACAGAGATACACTCCAAAATTATATAAGGTAGGATCTTTTTCAGAATCAAGGACAGCGAGCAACTGTTGACCGAGCTGTGCCAGAAATGGGGCAGTTTTGAGGAGGTGAGTAATCTTTGAAAAGGGTTTGCATTATCGGGGTGAACCCACGTTTTTTTCGTCGTTTCAAAATCGTTTTTACTATTTGCTTTTTTACTTACTATTAGTATTTTGCTTGCAAAAAAAAGCGAGAAATAGCGTTTTTTTTAATGAAGATCTGATAGTGCAGATTTTGATCATTGTTTTGTTTTTTAGAGAGACCTATTGCTAATTTCTCCCATATTTAGGCACACGACCGGATCGTGACGGCCCGTCTGATCACTGTGCTGATGGCGTCCGCGCGTTGCATGGTCGATCGCCAGAATTCATCGGTTCGGCTCCTTTTTTACGCGTTAATTCTTTCCTTTTCAGCAGGTTCACATTGGCGATCTTCCCCGGGATTTCCACGAGAGCGTCAGCGATCTCGGCCAGCCGCTGCGCAACAATAAGCAAAGTAAGCATCTTTGGTATTAACGGGGGGACCTGTTTTTTAGTCCGAAAATTCTTAGTAACGTGATCGCAAGTGAATTTAAGTAAAATTAAAAAAAATATTGAATAAATATCTATCTAAAAACTTGAATTTTTTAAAATGTTGGCTATTTACATTTTTTACCAAAAAGTCAAAAACTTTCGGAATTTTTTTATTTTTATATTGTTTTTCTATCTAGAAACTTTGTAAAATTGTTTTTATTTGGTTATAGTGGTTTATAAAATAGGGGAAAAATTTGGTTCCCCTCCCCGCTAACAGTCCAGAACCAAAACCAACCTAATCGGCCATTTGCGGCCGAAAATCGCTATTTTAATTCAGCACAAGATAGGCTCGATCCCATTTCGAACGCCGATATCACAAAAACCCCCTTTTAAGAGTCCAGTACCCCCAAAATTGCATTACCATTTCCAGGGCACAAGCAGCCGGCCGTCAACGAGCATTTCCCGCTGGAATGGCTTGTCAAGGCGCTGAACGACTATTCGCATCGCACCGGCGCCTATCTCAACCAAAAGCACTAGCCGCTATCCGGCCCCCGTTTTCCGTTTCCGCTTCTCCTGGGTACCGGTCTCGTTTCGCGCTCAAATAATTCGTGTCATACATTGTCTTAATCCAATTCGCATCCCTTTTTCTTCCTCCTCTTTTGCATGCACAATCTTTCACCAGGTCCGGCTAGTCCACACTTGGCCCAATTTGGTGCCCATTCACGTGTATCGCTTTTTTATCCGTTTGCCCGTTTCGTGTCCACGTTTTAACCTTATAAAATGTAAAAAAACAAGTTGATTTTGAAACGAAAGCCGCATTTCCCGCGCACGAGTCAAATGTTTATTCTCAACGATAAATTAAGCTGTATTCTCCTGGTTCTATGGCAATCACAGGCACGGCGCGCGACGCCACCGGAAACGTCGGGGGTACGCGCGCACAATGGGCGAGTAGATGGATCGGAAACTGTCAAATGTCGATGGTGGGCTGCGTGTGCTCCGACGGGCTGCTCTTCGTTTGCACTGCAACAAAGCGGTGGTTTTTCTATAGGAAATAACTTGATTTAAATGCCTAACTTTAGCAAAAATTCCAACTCTTACCCTTGCCGATGCCGGAGCGTGCGTGCAGCGACGCCTTCGGACGTTTGTTCCGTTTTGCGCCTGCAAAAAGTGTGTTTTGTGGCAGTTTAAAAAGTAAGAAAGTTTTATGTATTCAATAACTTCTTCTTGTCGTGGGAACCGAATTTTTTGTATAAGTCTAGAAATGCCTAGTAGAACCTAATAAGAAGTATTTTAGAAGTGTTTTTCGTAAACTAAAACTATTTTTCGACTAGAAAAACTGTCTAAAAACTTTCTAAAACGTTTCAAAAGTCGAAATTTTGGTAAAAAATGTCATTTTTGGTCGAAAAATCTATATTAATTCGGTATGGTTCATAAATATTTGCATAATTTTGACGTTTAGAAATAGTAAAAAAATACTTTACAAGCACTTCCGCTGTTGTATTTGCAAATTGGTAAAAGCAATCCAACCTCCACTACCCGATGTCCGACCGGACGTCTGCGTGCAGAGCCCGGATCGCGTCATCAGACTCTCGTGCGAGGCCTAGAAAAGTAGCGCATTAATGGTAGCCCGTTTTCCAAAGCGTCTCTGCTAGGCTGCCTCTTGAAAGCTGCAAAAATTTACTCGTGTTTTGCCCTTCGGCGCTCGTCGCCGCTTCTGCGCCGAGTCGTCGGTGTCGTCGGTGGACCGCTCGGCGGACTTGCTCCGCTTCCCGCCACGGCCTAAACTCGCACAAGATTTATCGAATTTTTATTCTAAAACAGCTTAGATTTTTAAATTCACGAAAATTTCTTAAAACTCTAAAATTTTAGATTCTTTCGCATTATCGATCGAGTGAAACATGGTTTTTTTCCTAGGATCCAATTTTTCAAATATAAATAGCGGAAATCATGCTCAGCGGTTATTTTACTTTTGCGAAACGTAATAACTTTCCAAATCTGCATTAAAAATACAAAAAATATATAGATTTTTCGACAGAAAGGGGCCAGATTTCGACTTTTAGCAAATTTTTAGAAGTTTTAGGTAGCTTTTCTGGTTGAAATATCATACGTATTGTACTAAAAACATTAATAAACGATAGTATCGCAAATAAATTAAATTTTAAACTAAATTACTACACATTTCTAGAGTTTTAGAAACCCCTCCCCCCGATAATGCTAAAGAACCGAATTGTCTTACCAGCCAGCTCGGCAGAGCCGCCGCCCGGCCTCAGCACGCGCAGCAGGTTCCGTGCGGTTTTATGGCGCTGGGAAATTTTTTTCAACCTTCAAAAATTAGCTAACTTTCGAAGATTCGTCCTGTCCGGTCTTTTCGGCCGAGTGCCGAGGTGGTTCTTCCTAAATAATTCCTATTTATTTTTTGCATTTTTAAAAATGGAAGGAATACAAAAGCCGAAGCCTAAGCCTCCTAAGCCTAGCCGAAACCTAAGCCTGAGCCTAAATAGGCTTAAGCCTCAGCAAACTCCACCTAAGCCTAAACCTAAGCCAAATAAGTCTAACATGTAGAGGTTGTGGGGTCACAGAGTCCAAAACAGCTCAAAATTGGTGGAAAAATCAAATAAAATATAGGGAATACGATGCGATAAAAATTAGCTGCCAATGGGCACTTTTGTTGAATAAACTTTTAATTTTAAGATTTTGTATGGAAAACTACCTAGAATCGCGACCTGGGGCGCCAAAACCGTTAGCCGCAGGGGAACCCTCTTGAAGTCTTCCCAAGAGCCCCTTCCCGTTGGACCGTTGGTGTAGGGGTAAGGTGCAGGGGTGGCGAGCTAGTGGTCGAAGATTCAGATCCCGTCGGTATTTTTAATTTTTGCTTTTTGCTGTTCTCGCTTTTATTTTGCCGGAAGAGGGTCCAAAAATATCCAAAATGTGTTTTCGAAAGTTGTTCGGCTTTATTAACCCCTATGAGTCGCCGGGGTAGAAAAATAAAATTTCAAAAATTTTGGAAGTTTTTGGAAAAAGGTCTACCTACCTATTCTAGCTCGATGACAACCAACAAAATAGTTGATAAATATTATTTTTGCACAGACTGTATAAAAATGGAGTTATTCGGGCAATATGAAATATTTCCGGGCTCCGATTTGAAGCGCCATTGGTCAGAGCCACCTATTGTAAGCAGCTTCCAACCTTCCCAGGATCCGGGGCTATAGGATAGGTAGTCAAAATTTTCGTGAAAAATTTTTTTCCAGATCAAATTTTTTTCGAGTGTGGAAAAGTGTCTAGTGTCGTGGCTGCTATGAAAATTCCATCAATACATTTTTTCCAAGCCGGAAGGCCCGATAAAGCAGTTAAAAGTGCATTTCAGCAGCACTTTTTTGCATAAAAATTAAAAGTTTATTAAACAAAAGTGCCCATTGGCAGCTAATTTTTATCGCATCGTGTTCCCCGTATTTTATTTGATTTTTCCACCAATTTTGAGCCGATTTGGAGTCTGTGACCTCGCAACCTCTACATGTAAGCCCCAACCTAAGCATAACCTAAGCCCAGCTAACCTAAAGCTCAATCTAAAGCTAAGCTAAACCTAAGCCCAAGCCCAATCCTAAGCCATGCCTAAGCATAAGCCGAAGCCCAAGCTCACCTAAAACCGAAGCTAAAGCTATGCTAAGCCTAAGCCTAAGCCAAGCCGAAGCCTCAGCCTAAGCTAACAAGGGGACGTTTTTTGGTGTGAATGGAGTTCCGAGTGGAAACCAGGCCTATTTTGTGCAGAATTTTGCGCTGATTCCGAATATGTTTTCCATTTCTGCTAAATAGCTCGATTTAAAAAGTTATAGCAATTTTAAGATCATTTTAGCCCAAATTTTCCCCACTTTAGGGACCATTATATTGCTTTTCCCGGCTGTTTTTCCAAAAATAAATATCGTCACCGTATTCAGAAAAATTTTCTCTATCGAATGAGCTAATTAACTCAAAATTGTTGAAAATCGAAAAAATCGACGATACTTGGTATGGGCTGCGATTTTTGTATGGGAAATGGTGAAAAACAGCCTATTTCTCACCCCTGTAAGCCATCATCGATCGGCAGTAGCGCACTAATCAAATATACCATTCGAATCAGAAAAAAATGCTCTACAAGATAGGCTACTTAAACAAAATTAAAACGTTATAACAAAAAACTAGCACAGCATAGCATATGGCTACTCTGGGCCTAAAAATTATCTTAAAACAGCTGTAACTTTTTAAATCGAGCTATTTAGCAAAATTGAAAAACAGCATCGGAATCAGCGCAAAATTCTACACAGAATAGGCCTGGTTTCAACTTAAAACTCCATTCACACTAAAAAACGTCCCCCTTGTAAGCCACCGACCACAGTGGGCTCCTGGGTGGTCGACGCGATCGTTCCATCATATTCCATCTCGAGCCCGTCCTCAGGGACACTTGATGATTGCTGTAGTTGTCGTCTGTCCGTTTTCCCGCCGCCCTCCATCGACGGCACGCCGGCGATGTTCACCTAGAAGCTTGGATCGGCTTACCTTTGGGCTTCGGCTTAAAAATTCGAGCCCTTGCTGACCTTGCTGAAGGCGGTGGACGCGCCCATGACGTCGCTGGTCCTCCGCTTCTTGCGCGCGCAGCCATACTGGAGGATGAGCACGAGCAGAAGGTGGCAGACGACATGGAGCAGGCCGCCGCTCACCACCTCGTCCATTTAGCTGGAGATCAAACTTTTTAAAGGTTGTTGAGTCCCCCAATTGCCTTTGCTAGCTTGCCCGTTGCCATAATGATTATAAGAGAATTAAAACTAATTTCTCATGGCGGAAAAGTCATTTTCGCGACTCAAACGATGCCGAAAAAACTTACTGATTACCCGACCAACTAATGAGCGTAAAATAGAAATTGATACCGAGGCGTTCGAATTTTTTATTATGTAATTTGCATATTCAAATGAGAGAATGTATATGTAAAGATAATAGAAATTTTTACGAACATTTTCGGCTTTTTGGCCAAAAATGTATGCAAAATGACCAAAAAAGGTAAAATTTTCCGAATCATGCTTCCGAAAAACACTTTTTTGAAAATCATTTTTCGAAAGGCATGTTTCAGAAAAGTCATATTTTCGAAAATCCTTTTTCCAGAAAAAAGAATTTCAAAAACCTGCATCCAGCTATTGATCAGAAATGGCCCGAAAAGGGTACGAAATAGCAAAAAAAAGCTAAAGCTGCGGTAGAGCTCCCCGGATGCAAATTTTTCGAAATTCTTTCTCGGAAAACATTTTTTCCAAAATGACTTTCGAAAATATGACTTTCGGAAATTTGACTTTTCGAAAAACGATTTTCGACAATCTGATTTTCGGAAATGCGGATGCAAATAACTGTTGTATGGCAATTTGGAGCTGGAAAAACCGTTTATTCCATTCTTTCTCTTTCTCAGGTCAGCGCATTCAATCAATTCCGGGAGAAAAACGAATGGGGGAGGGCGTGTTAATCCGTTAAACGTTATCAAAAATTCGTGACCTCTTTCAAAAAAGATTATATACAGGCGGCAATACAGAAAAAAGGGGGTCCGGGCCTCGAAAATACGGGGGGTACGACAAAGAAATGCGAGTTTCACACTTTCGTGCTCTCCGAGGCGATTTGGGTCGCGTCGAGCACGAGCTCCGCCGTCCCGGGCGTTCGAGCTGAAACACACAAAATTCACATATGCATTATTACACAATTAAAAAATAAACGGTACTTTTGCACGATCGGGGGAGGGAGACTCTTTACTTGTAAAGTCTTAAAATGCCTGGGAATTTAAGAGAAAGTATTCTGCTAGTATTTTTTGTAAAATTTCACTATATTTCAAGTAGAAAATGCTTCTGAAACTTTTAAAAATTCGGAATTTTCGTTAAAACTGTCATTTTTGGTAGAAAAATCGATATTTTTTGTATTTTTATAAAAATTGTGGAATTTTCTAAGACTATTAAAAACAGTTTGAAAACATTTCCACTAACAATATCTGTAAAATTGGATCCTAGAAGAAAATAGGACCCCCCCCCCCGATAATGCAAAAGCACCCATTTTTATCCTGCCGTAATGCTGCCAGTATTACAGTAATCTACATTAATCGTAATCTACCATTTAGAAAAACCAAAAACATGTTAAAAAATTACCGCGCTTCTCGAGGCTTTGCCGGAGCAGGCGGTTCTTCTCCTGGCGCTTCTTCAAGTCGTCCATCTGCTGCTTCTGCGACATCGACGGCTGCACACGTTTGCGTACTGTAATCAGGAAAATACAAAAATATATAAATCATTTCCACGCTAGATCTGCTTCTACAATATTCCTTGTCGTAAAAGAGAATTTTTGAGCGCCAAAGATCCATTAAGAAACCCCAAGATGCGTTTACAATAATTTTTGTTGAAACCTTTTTTTCAGACTGGAAAAAGCTTATTAGTATACGAATTCTAACGAGCCATATTTTTTACATCTACCTCTTGTATTAAACCAAAAACACGCAAAAAATTAGCCCACATTTCGCCGAGCTGGCCGTTTTGACGCGACGGGCATTCCGCATTTCCGAGCTGCCGACGGCCGTTTGAAGGCCCGGGTAGGATTCCTGAAAAAGAAATTTGTCGTCAACAATCTCTGCTAGCCTGCCCTCTCCTCTTCCTCAACAATCTCTGCTAGCCTGCCCTCTCCTCTTCCTCAACAATCTCTGCTAGCCTGCCCTCTCCTCTTCCTCAACAATCTCTCCTAGCCTGCCCTCTCCTCTTCCTCAACAATCTCTGCTAGCCTGCCTTCTCCACTTCCTCAACAATCTCTGCTAGCTTGCCCTCTCCTCTTCCTCAACAATCTCTGCTAGCTTGCCCTCTCCTCTTCCTCAACAATCTCTGCTAGCTTGCCCTCTCCTCTTCCTCAACAATCTCTGCTAGCCTGCCCTCTCCTCTTCCTCAACAATCTCTGCTAGCCTGCCCTCTCCTCTTCCTCAACAATCTCTGCTAGCCTGCCCCTCTCCTCTTCCTCAACAATCTCTCCTAGCCTGCCCTCTCCTCTTCCTCAACAATCTCTGCTAGCTTGCCCTCTCCTCTTCCTCAACAATCTCTGCTAGCCTGCCCTCTCCTCTTCCTCAACAATCTCTGCTAGCTTGCCCTCTCCTCTTCCTCAACAATCTCTGCTAGCCTGCCCTCTCCTCTTCCTCAACAATCTCTGCTAGCTTGCCCTCTCCTCTTCCTCAACAATCTCTGCTAGCCTGCCCTCTCCCTCTTCCTCAACAATCTCTGCTAGCTTGCCCTCTCCTCTTCCTCAACAATCTCTGCTAGCCTGCCCTCTCCTCTTCCTCAACAATCTCTGCTAGCTTGCCCTCTCCTCTTCCTCAACAATCTCTGCTAGCCTGCCCTCTCCTCTTCCTCAACAATCTCTGCTAGCCCGCCCTCTCCTCTTCCTCAACAATCTCTGCTAGCCTGCCCTCTCCTCTTCCTCAACAATCTCTGCTAGCTTGCCCTCTCCTCTTCCTCAACAATCTCTGCTAGCTTGCCCTCTCCTCTTCCTCAACAATCTCTGCTAGCCTGCCCTCTCCTCTTCCTCAACAATCTCTGCTAGCTTGCCCTCTCCTCTTCCCCAACAATCTCTGCTAGCCTGCCCCCGATTTACCATATTTCTCCTCCGGCGATGATCTTTTCCTTCAGTGCGAGTCCGGGTACCCGCCGAGCGTTCTAAACATTGTAGTAAACTAAATTTACGCTTTTTATAACTTACTCCCTCCACTTCCCGACGTCTTCTGGCGGCGGTTGATCTTCTCCGAGCTGAGCGTGGCCTCGATGGTGTTCAGCTAAAAATAGGGGTTTAAAGGAATCGGCAAGCGGAGATTCAATTTTTGCCGATGGGAAAGTTTGAATGTTTCATCGTACTTGTTTCTTCTTATTTCTGCGCCTCCGCTTCCGCTGCGAATCTTCAGTGCGGCACCGCAGCAATTTTGGGTTGTCGTAGCCAGGCACGGATTTCGGGTGCGTACGCTGCCGGCGCTTTTTCTGGAAATGGAGATAAAAAGAATGTTATATGTAAGCTAAGTACTAATCTGATTGTTCATTTTCTAGTCATTACAGGAAAATTCAAACCCTCACCACTTTCTCCGAGCCGTTTGTCGCCACCTCTTCTGATGAGTCCTGGAACGGAAAACATAGAAAAAACACACATGATGAGCTAATTTTCCGCAAAGAATCACTGCTAGTTTGCCTTAAAAACTAAACTTAAAACTTAAACTTAAAACTAAAAAAGACAGCGGGCAACGAGCAACGATTTTTAGGGATTAAAGGAGCGTGACATTTGGGGCATCGCTCTCTCTCTCGCTCTCGCTCGCTCTCACTGGATCTCTCTCTCGTAGGTGCAGGCTAGCAGAGATTGTTGAGGAAGAGGAGAGGGCAGGCTAGCAGAGATTGTTGAGGAAGAGGAGAGGGCAGGCTGGCAGAGATTGTTGAGGAAGAGGAGAGGGCAGGCTAGCAGAGATTGTTGAGGAAGAGGAGAGGGCAGGCTAGCAGAGATTGTTGAGGAAGAGGAGAGGGCAGGCTGGCAGAGATTGTTGAGGAAGAGGAGAGGGCAGGCTGGCAGAGATTGTTGAGGAAGAGGAGTGGGCAGGCGAGCAGAGATCCGCGCGGATTAAAGGGACGGTGACAGCACTAGATACCCACAAGTAAGTATTCGATAGTTTCCGGATGTGTCTGGTCATCGGATTCGGTGGTTGTCTCCGTGGTGGGTCTTGTGTTGGGTGTTCGGGGTGTATGTGACGTTCCGGTGCCCCGGTCTTCCGAAGTCATCGTGGGGACGTCGGGCACGTGGCGCTAAACACGGCGGGTACTGTGCTGTTAGCGGAGGGGTAATTTTTATTTACTTTTAAAAGCCGATTAAAGTAAAATTTTTGTCGAAAAAATTCCTTTCGACAGCCATGACCGATTGTTATAGCTCTAGCCTTTTATCCACAAGGTCCGGGTTCAATTCCCGCCGTCGTCAACCTTTTGATTTTTGGTTTAAAGGGGCTTGGAAGGCAAAACGAGGCGGATTGTACCTGCACGAAGGTGGTCGACTCGACGGACTGCTCATGTTTTGTGCCGCGATTTCGGAGGCAGCCGGCGACGGCGAGCAGTACGGCCGACACCCAGGTGAGGGCGGCGATGGGGAGTAGAGAGTCTGAAACAATGTTTTTAAGAGAAGCGAGAGGGAGAGAGGGAGAGAGAGCGAGAGAGAGAGAGAGGGAGAGAGAGAGAGAAGAAAGAGTGAGAGAGCGAGAGAGCTTGAGAGAGATATTTAGAAAGTGAGTGAATGAGAGAGTGAGCAGGATGGAGAGAGTCAGCACGAGAGAGAGAGAGAGAGAGAGAGAGAGAGAGAGAGAGAGAGAGATATAACAAAAAACCCACCCAATATAGCGGCCGGCTTGTGAAACGACAATACAGTATCCTGGTTATTGTGTGGATCCGATCCTCATTTTTCTAAAATAATAATTCCTCGAAAATTTAAATAATTTATTCAAATTTAAGCGTCCCTTTTTCTCAAAAACCAAACCATTCTCTCGACTGCCAAGGATGCGCGATGGCCGCCTCGTCGAAAATGTGGGTTGATTATGTTTTTCGGAATTATGCAAATCATTGAAACCTATTGCAGCTCCCGGCTGATCACGGCCCGCGACGATCCGCCCGATAATTTGCAGCAAGCCCTCGAGGTCACCCGCCAGGCAAACGCCACCAACATTGCGCTCGGCATTTTCAAGTTGATTCTTCTTGGGCTCAAGTCTAGGAAACCCCCCCAGCCGACTTTTCAACTTTTCTACCTTTTTACTACTTTTTTCGACTGGACTGCAATGTAGTCTTACTAATTAGCCTACGGCGAACATTTTGGTATACTTTAGAGCTCGCTAGCACAAAAGGGGGCCGAGATAGAAAAGTTGGTAGCGGCTGGGGGGTTTCTAGACTCTTACCTCTTCTTGTGCTGAAACAAAATATCGTAGTAAAAATTAAAACTTATAGACATCGAGATTAATAATTTTGGGCATGTTGTCAACTCGAAAAACAAGCATTTTTGATAAGTCTTCGATCATGTCCATATTGCCAGGAACCAGATACCTGGATTTTTAACGATAGTCGAAACACTCTTTTTTTGAAATGAACCCCGTCAGCGGGGGCGGGTTTAGGAAGGGGAAATCAATTGTCCCATCAATTTCTAACGGGAATATAACGATATTTAAACCATTTTACAGTATTTTACACAGTTTTCAAATAAAAAGCTGCTAAAAATCTATAGAAATTTTCGCATTTTTTTGACGTTTTGGACAAAAATGTATGAAAAATTACGAAAAAGATAGAAATTTTGCAAATCTAATTAAAAATTCTTTTAATTGTGAGCATTTTCATTTTAACATTGTTAAATGTCAAGTTAAGGTATTTAAAATTATCAAGGGCTAAATAACAAATTTTTAATTTAACCAACTTCGAAACATTGTTTTTCGTTTGCTGCCAAGTTTTTAAAGTAAAAAATCTGAACTCCGATACTCTTACCTAAATTTTCACGAAGAACAAAAATTACAAAAAAACAGCAACACTACAAAAAGAACGTTCTGGGCGTTGGTTACGAAACGATATCGAATTGGGAAAGCCGCAAGAGCCACGTTTTTTAAATTTTATCGTAACATATTTTCTCGCAAAATAATTTAGCTTCCATATTGCTTGAAATGGCTTTGTTCTAGTTTGGATTTAAATTCTGAGGAGTGTCTCGAATTTAATTTCTTGGTTTCCAGCGCGATGGCGTCGAACCCACAGAATAGCAATTGCTTCCTGAACGTGCCGCAGTTGATCGCCACCTACTCGCTGCTAGCGAATGCTGCTGATACGAAGGTAGGGCTAGCCGAGATTATTGAGGAAGAGGACAGGGCAGGCTAGCGGAGACAATTTGTGGAATTTCCAGGTGGCCAATCAGCTGCGTAATCGTCTCTTCGGCACCGAGGTGGTAAGCAGGACGGCGGCTACCGAGGTGGCCAACTTCCTGGCCAACTGGTTCAAGCAGCTCGCCCCGCTCTGCTTAAAACGTACATTAATTTGTATCGTAAAATCCTACCTTATATAATTTTGGCGTGTATCTTTGTGTGTGTGTGTGGATGTCAGTTTCGAGGCCCGATTTGAGGGCCTTCCCGTGTCCAAAACGCCCCAATTCTCCGTCACCCGGGGGAATCGACCCTTCTGTTTCCGATGGCGTTCTCAGAATTTCGATAAAATACAAGTTTACAAAGTTAAAGCCGGTTTTATTCATTTTTGGGGGTAATTTGCATAATGTGAAAAGATCCAAATTTCCTCATTCTTGCGAATTGCACGCGCGCGTGTGGTGGGGGGTCCAAAGGACCGAGCTACCGGAGCGGCAAATTTCTCATGCAAACGCACCATTCCAGCGCCCAAGGCCCGCGAAACGGGTTTTGGGCGCTGGTTATAGAAATTAAAAATCTGTAAAAATTTCTAAAGAACCATTTGCGCTAGATTTCGCGGCCCGTCGCATCCTTGTCCACCCCGACTTCACGAAAAGCTACAGCTACGCCACGTTCCTCGTCCTGTCCGACCTGGGTTTTCAGGTCAAGGTAAGCATTTTCGGCTGCATTAAATTAAAATTTAGTTGGTATAACAAATTTTATTGAAGTGTAGAAGGCTACAATTACCAAACCCAAATTTTCATCCTTTTTAATTTTTTTCTGAAACATTTGATTCCGACATTTCGTGTTTTCTGTTTGAATGCATTATACAGCGAAATGCTGTTAAAGATGAACGCTTTTGAGCTATATCGATTTGGGCGATCATGCGTTATTTTTATTTCTCCATGAAACATGAATTCTTTCCGAAAAATTGACTTGGATTCGAAGAACTTCGGAAACCATAATAGAAAAGGTGTTTCTAAGGTTTTTTAATTATTTTTTCGGAGCTTTCGAAGCTTTTTTATTATTTTGGTTAATAGAAAATCTCGATTCTCCATATTTTAGATAAAAAGTTGTCTTAAAAAAGTGCTAGTTCTTCCTGGGTTTTTACTTAAAATATACGATTCAATTAGCACTGGAGAAAATCCGGGTTTTGTAATGTTGCGCGAAACATTGATTTTAAATCTCGGAAGAAATTTGTTGTTTTTTAATGATTGCTAATAATTATTCTTAGGTATTTTAAAAAGTAATCATAAATAGAAGGGGAATATAGAGAGCAGATTGTTTAAAAATCAACAACTTTTTTAGATCCTGAAATCGCCGGACGTCAACGAGTGGCTGGCCGCTGAGAATATTGTACGCAAGTTGCAATATTTTTTGGCTAAATTTAAGGTATTTTTCAACGACTGAATTCAAAGAACTAGCTTGTTATTTAAATGTCCATTAAAGTCTTAAATGAATTAGTCGAATTTTAATTAAAGCTTATTTCCAGCGCCCTACCAGCCCGCCCGAGGTGTTCATGCTGTGGCCGGAGTCGCCTGAAGAGCAGACCAAGGAACCGCAGAAGAACAAGGTGCTGGTTAGAGAATTTAAATTAGTCAATTAATATTTGAAAAATTAAATTAAATTAATCAAATTTACCGAATTTTCCGCGTGGTTCATTGGTACCGTGTTAGCCTCCTACCCACCAGACCCGGGTTCGATTCCCCGGGATGCTGAACTTTTTTGTTTTTTGCTCAAGAAAAACTAAATTTTACCATTGGCCGTATGGCGGATTGGTAGTGTGGGTCCCCCACCTGCAAGGCCCGGGTTCGATCCCCCGGGTGCGGAACTTTTTGCTTTTTGAAATACAATACTTCAATTATAATAAGTATTTTTAATAGGATTTTGGGGCAAATTGGACGATATTTCAAGTCGAAAAACTCTAAAAACTTTCAAAAGCTGCTCATTTCGAAATTTTGTTCGCAAATCGGCGAATTTTGACGGAAAAATGGATATTTTTGCTTTTTAAAAATTTGTATAGTCGCCAAACCCGATAATGCAACAGAACCTACAAATCTTTGTAGGACGAGCTGGCCCGAATCGAGCGCAGCCGCCGTTGTCCGATCATCACGACGGCGTCGAATCTGGTGATCCGCCTGCCGGACGTCAACCAAAACGAAATGTTTCGTGTTCCTTTTGAGGTTGGAGGCGCAAGTCGTTGCCTAATACTTGCTGTGATACTGCCTTTTTAGAGACTTTACGTGAAACATAATTCCATATTGCATTTATTCGAAATGACGCATCGAAAAATCTTTTTGTAAAATTGACGGTCAATCGAAGGCTGAAACACTAACGACTTTTGAATTTGAAAAACAGCGTTTGAGCTCTGTTTTCAATTTTCATAGAAACTTTTGCAATAAATTTAATTCAGGCGCATGGGAAAAACCGATATGAAAAAGACAATGTTTCATCATCGTTTAAAAAGAAAGAAACTTGGGGAGTCTCAATTTTATCCAGCGCTGTGACGTTTTAAAGTCTAAAAAAATCTTTTTTTCAGGGCCTCCCCGTCGACGTGCTGGCCGGCGAGATTCGCTCGTTCAAGGCCGACTCCGTCAAGCTGTTCCAGATTGGTGAGAATTTTTGAGGAGATTGCTTCAAATTGATTAAAAATTCGCAAAACAGACTATATAAATTAGAAACATAAAAAGCACTTTTTCATAGCTAATAGTAGTAATAATATAGTAATAGTAGCTAATCAGAAATAAATAATTTTTAAAGGGATGGCGACACTTTTCTTAAGATCGCCACGACGTGCTGACGGTGCCCACCGTTCACGACGCGCTGACGATTTATATCATTCAGAAAGTGAGAGAATCTCACTCGCTCTCTCTCTCTCTGTCTCGCTCTCTCTCGCTCTCTCTCTCTCGCATTATTCCTCTCTCTATCTAATTTAATTTTTGCAGAACATGACCGAGTTGCTGGCGAGCAAGGCCCACTTCACGGAGCTCTTGCGCAAGCTACGCCTCAATACGGAAGTGGTACGGTAGTTTTCTATAATTTAAAGTTAAAGAAAAACAAAAATGATGTATTATTACTAAGCAAATTAATTTTATTATTTTTATTTTATGTTAGCTTATTGATATTATTTTCTGATAGTAAGGAAAAAATAAAGTGGTCTTTCCAGAAAAATGTTTCGCGTCGAATTAAAAATCGAAAATTTCTAAGCACCCAACTGATGTGACACATCGTAACTTCCAAATAAATCAAACACCTTTAAACCTTTATAATTCTATTATCCTACCTTATATAATTTGGTCGCATATCTTTGTGTGTGTGTGTGTCCGGCGCCAGGGAGGGCTACTTTGCATAATTCCAAAAAATACAAATTTTCTCATTCTTGCAAGTTGCACGCGCGGGTGTGGTCGGAGGAAGGCAGGGGTCCGAAGGACCCAAGCTATCGGAAAGTCAAATTTCTCATGCAAAGGCCGCATTCCAGCGCCCAAGGCCCGCGAAGCGGGTTGTGGGCGCTGGTTAAACTAAATAAAAAAATATGATGTCGTAATTTCCAGTCGAAGGAGTACAAGTCGCTGATTCTGCCGGTGTGGGACCAGCCGGGCCGAGCCGCCAACATTGCCGAAGCCTTTCAGGTGGAGTAAATTTATTTGGTGTTAATTCCGAATAATTAAACAGTTTTGTTTATTATTTGACAATATAAATTTATATGGCTTCAGTTCAAAAACGATCGAAAAACTTTTTTATGAAAAAAATGTTTCAAAAATTTTTAGAGATTTGCGAAGTTCGCCTGGCTAATTCATCACCGCGTAATCATAAAGATCTATATCTATAAAAAATTTACAGAGATATAGATTATTAAATGTAGTTATTTTAAAACTGAAATTTTCAGCATTAAGACCGGCTAAAAGTGCTTAAAATTTGAAAATTGTAATTTAGAGCGAACTCCGCGACAACCCGTACATCTACAACCAGCTGTTCGTCCCCGGCGGTTTTGAGGATTTGGCCCAACCAGATAGGTATGGAAAATTGAACTTGGGGGCAGGCTAGCAGGGATTCTTTGCGGAATTCGACTTTCAAAGACCCTTTAATTCAATCAATTTATTTTTAGTGCCCCGTCCTCGACGCTGCCGCCGGCCATCCAGCACCACGATCTGTTCGACATTGCCGATCTGTCGCGCAGAAAGGGGTAGGGCAGGCTAGCAGAGATTGTTGAGGAAGAGGAGAGGGCAGGCTAGCAGAGATTGTGAGGAAGAGGAGAGGGCAGGCTAGCAGAGATTGTTGAGGAAGAGGAGAGGGCAGGCTAGCAGAGATTGTTGAGGAAGAGGAGAGGGCAGGCTAGCAGAGATTGTTGAGGAAGAGGAGAGGGCAGGCTAGCAGAGATTGTTGAGGAAGAGGAGAGGGCAGGCTAGCAGAGATTGTTGAGGAAGAGGAGGGGGCAGGCTAGCAGAGATTGTTGAGGAAGAGGAGAGGGCAGGCTAGCAGAGATTGTTGAGGAAGAGGAGAGGGCAGGCTAGCAGAGATTGTTGAGGAAGAGGGAGGGCAGGCTAGCAGTGATTGTTGAGGAAGAGGGGGGCAGGCTAGCAGAGATTGTTGAGGAAGAGGAGGGGCAGGCTAGCAGAGATTGTTGAGGAAGAGGAGAGGGCAGGCTAGCAGAGATTGTGAGGAAGAGGAGAGGGCAGGCTAGCAGAGATTGTTGAGGAAGAGGGAGAGGGCAGGCTAGCAGAGATTGTTGAGGAAGAGGAGAGGGCAGGCTAGCAGAGATTGTTGAGGAAGAGGAGAGGGCAGGCTAGCAGAGATTGTTGAGGAAGAGGAGAGGGCAGGCTAGCAGAGATTGTTGAGGAAGAGGAGAGGGCAGGCTAGCAGAGATTGTTGAGGAAGAGGAGAGGGCAGGCTAGCAGAGATTGTTGAGGAAGAGGAGAGGGCAGGCTAGCAGAGATTGTTGAGGAAGAGGGGGGCAGGCTAGCAGTGATTGTTGAGGAGAGGGGGGGGCAGGCTAGAGAGATTGTTGAGGAAGAGGAGAGGGCAGGCTAGCAGAGATTGTTGAGGAAGAGGAGAGGGCAGGCTAGCAGTGATTGTTGAGGAAGAGGAGGGGGCAGGCTAGCAGAGATTGCTGAGGAGGAGGAGAGGGCAGGTTAGCAGATATTGTTGAGGAAGAGGAGAGGGCAGGCTAGCAGAGATTTTTGCAGATCTCGCCCTGTCCCTCTCCCTCCAGTGCCCGCCGACTACACACGCTACATAGTCGACCACCCGTTCGTCATCATCCTCATCGACAAGGCCATTAGTGGGTGGAATTGTCAAGCCAAGCGATTTCTAAAGGCAACCTATTGCCGTTGCTCTTTCATGCCACTTTGTCCTTTTGGCGAAACATCGTTTTCAACCATCATGCTTTCAACTGCTCCCGAATTTTTTCAAGTGAATTCAGACCAATCCACGCAATATTAAAGGCTGACAGGACTTCTGTAAAAAACCTAAAAAATTGTTTTGCAAACTAAACGCTTTCGATTTACAATTATTATGAATCTTTTTAGAAGTTTCATCTTTTGCTAGGGCTTCAGAATTAATAATACGTTTTTATTTGTGTTTTAAGTATTATTAATTATTTTTTTTTAATGGAAGAGCGATCAAAAAATGTATTTTTTTTACTAAAAATTAATAAGGCTGCGCTTAAGAAAAGCAAAAAATATTAGAAACTCGCTCCTTAGAATAAATTATGGTCCCCCCGATAATGCCAAAGAGCCAAAATAGGCCAAAAAACCCAAAAATTTGATTATCAGCGCTATATTCTCAGAATTTTCTTATTAAGTTACAACTTTAGTAAATTATAAAACATCCATTTATGCAGATATGCCGGTGCAGATGGGATATATCAGCCGCCCAACTCCAGCCGATCGGCCGCGCGATGACGCCGCGAAGAAGGGCCTCGGCTGCACGATCGCCTAGGCCACGCCCCCTTTCCGACCACTTCAACGCCCCTTTAAAGCCCTTTCCTGATGTCCGAAAAATTAGACAAAAATTCTGAATACACAGCTTCTATCTCGGCCCACATGGCCACCTGTCACGCTCCCTTTAATAGTGAATTATCTGCGCCCGTTTTTCGCCTTGTCATCGCTGATTTTTATGATTATCGTGTTCAATAAATATTACGGATTAATTTATGTTAATTTTATTTTGCAATTTGATTTTATTTGCTGTAATTTTATTCAGGCCAATATCAAACTTTTCCAAATAATGTGTTTCCTGGAAAAATCATCAACAGGCTACCTTTTGGAAAACAATATATTTGTGAATTGTGTGTAAATTTTATCTTCGCTTTAAATTCATTAAATTTAAATTTCAAGGTTTCTTGCTTGAATACGAAAGCATGCCATAAAAAAGAAAACGTTTTACAAAATATGTGTTGCTTTGAAAAGGCATCATCGCGCAGCAATTTAGCAGCCAATCAAATGTCCTGACCCCCACTAAAAACTGTCCTCGATCGGCTAGAAGATGGCAAGTGCAAAAAGAATGCGATAATTTTCTATTTTAATGGTTTCCGGAGAAGTCGTGTTCAATAAATATTACGGATTAATTTATGTTAATTTTATTTTGAAATTTGATTTTATTTGCTGTAATTTTATTTGGGCCAATATCAAACTTTTCCAAATAATGTGTTTCCTGGAAAAATGATCAACAGGCTAACTTTTGGAAAACAATATCCTTGGGTATTGTCTGTGAATTTTATCTTCGCTTTAAATTCATTACATTTAAATTTCAAGGTTTTGAATACGAAAGCATGCCATAAAAAAAGAAAACTTTTTACAAAATAGATGTTGCTTTGAAAAATCATCACAGCACAGCAATTTAGCTGGCAATTAAACGTCCTAGTCCCTCATAAAAACTGTACTCGATCGGCTAAAAGATCACGAAAGAAAAGCTAGTTCAATAATGCTATAATCTTCTATTTATTGGTTTCCGAAGAAGTCCTAATACTGGAATAACACTTGCCATTGACCTGCTTGAATTGTTGAAACAATTTTTTTTCGGGACAACGACCTAAAATTTTTGAGAATTCCGTTATTTTTTTTCGCGATATTCGCCACGCCATTCGATAGCGCCGAAAAATATGCTCAGCGTTTTAATCACAACCCAAAATTTTGTCATATAAAAAAGGTATAGCATACCCACAAATAACCTGTGAAAAATGGTGTCAAGTAGTTATTTTTCGATAATTTCGCTGTTTTTCGGCATTTCGGGTATGCTGTATGCATCAAAAATATACTAAAAGTTTCATGGCAGCTCAAAATCGCAAAATTATTTTACCAAGTTTTGGGTTAAGAAATATTTAAAAACAGTCTACAAAATCCGCAATTGACGTCAACAAATCTAGGTTAAGCTGTTTTAATTTATCTTCAGGAACACCCTTTTTAAAATTTGCACACGATTTAAAAAAATTGTGTTTCAACAAAAAAACTAGGCTAAATCTTTTTCGAGCGTTGCAATCCTCGATCTCTCGAATCCTGAAAATTCTTGGAAATAACCATATGGATAAATCATCTCGTGTCAATTATCGATATTTTTTGAAACGCTAAAGCTACCACTAAACTAAAATATCAGACATTTTCATTAACTAAAAATGGCAAGAACCCTGATTTGGTTTTTAATATTGTAATAAACAAACTCACAGATTTGGGTGCACAATTATGTTTCGAGAATCCGGTATATAATAATTTTTTCGAAAACAACAATTTTGATTAGGTATTTTTTCTGACAAACATATCTGCGGGCGACGCTTCCAGTTTTTCAATGCAAGCAGGTGCAAACAGATTTCAGCCGCCCAAGGTTATCAGATTCCCCAGGTCTACGGAGGGTTTGTGCGATTTTTGGGTTTTTGATTGAAAATTGGCCGATTATTACTACCTTAAAAATCCTTATAGTTCTTGAAAAAGATTTTATTTATTTCGCTGAAACGGAAAAATGTTTCAAAAACCCGCATTCAAGGAATGGGGGTTGGTTTTCTAATTCCTCGAATGTTCTTCGACTAAAACGTACCTTTTTGTTCAGATGGTGCTGACCCTGTTCGAGCCATTGTGGCTGAGCATCTACTGGAAAGTGAACGGGTGTATCGTCATTTTATTGAACTCCTTCGCGACGTTTATCATCTTCAAGTATTCCTCCGCGGAAATGGCGGCTTATCGATATTTTTTGAGCAACATTTTGGTGAGCCTCGCCAACAATCCCTGCTAGCCGGCCCTCTCCTCTTCCTCAACAATCTCTGCTAGCCTGCCCTCTCCTCTTCCTCAACAATCTCTGCTAGCCTGCCCTCTCCTCTTCCTCAACAATCTCTGCTAGCCTGCCCTCTCCTCTTCCTCAACAATCTCTGCTAGCCTGCCCTCTCCTCTTCCTCAACAATCTCTGCTAGCCTGCCCCTCTCCTCTTCCTCAACAATCTCTGCTAGCCTGCCCCTCTCCTCTTCCTCAACAATCTCTGCTAGCCTGCCCTCTCCTCTTCCTCAACAATCTCTGCTAGCCTGCCCTCTCCTCTTCCTCAACAATCTCTGCTAGCCTGCCCTCTCCCTCTTCCTCAACAATCTCTGCTAGCCTGCCCTCTCCCTCTTCCTCAACAATCTCTGCTAGCCTGCCCTCTCCTCTTCCTCAACAATCTCTGCTAGCCTGCCCTCTCTTCTTCCTCAACAATCTCTGCTAGCCTGCCCTCTCCTCTTCCTCAAGAATCTCTGCTAGCCTGCCCTCTCTTCTTCCTCAACAATCTCTGTTAGCCTGCCCTCTCCTCTTCCTCAACAATCTCTGCTAGCCTGCCCTCTCCTCTTCCTCAACAATCTCTGCTAGCCTGCCCTCTCCTCTTCCTCAACAATCTCTGCAGCCCACCTCTCTGATCGTTGCACATTATTTCGCGCATTAATTCTCGGACTACTTTTGCTAATAAAACACACTTTTTTCAGTTTTGGTCCTTTCTCCTCGACGTCTACCTCAATTTCTATTTTTGCCCTGTGGGGCTTTTTCCATTACCTGGCGGATACACATCACTTACCTGCATTATGGACTCGACTCCAGAATGGGCCAGATGGCCGACTACGGTAGGATGGGCAACGTTTAGAAAATCTGGCGTAGATCATCTTCCTCAAAGGTGCCCTTCCTGCCCCTTTTCAGGTGGCTGCCATGGTAATTATCGAGAACTGCTCGATGTCGTTGGTCATCTCCTTCCTCTACCGCTGGTGGGCCATCGAGCCGACGTTGTGGTTCTCCAGAAGTCCTCGGAATATGCTGGCGGTAGGTTACACTCGTACGGCGGGTGAGCTATCTCTCTCTCTCTCTTTCTCTCTCTCCCGCTCTCTCGCCTTTTATGGTAACGTTCAGACTCATGTTAGAGAGCAAGAGAGTCAGAAAGCGAAAGAGCGAGAGAGCGAGAGAGCCAGTGAGAGAGAGAGCCAGTGAGAGAGAGAGCGAGAGCCAGGAGTGAGATAGAGCCCAGCCGATCCCTCGTGCTCATTCTCTCCCACCTTTCCGGTAGAGTTCAGACTCTTGCTCAACCCGTAAGAGAGGCAGCTAGAGCGCGAGCGAGCGAGCGAGAGAACACGAGAAATAGCGCCATAGTGAGCGGGAGAGAGCGCGAGAGAGCGCGAGCTCCAAGAAGAGAGCGGCAGAGAGTGAGCCGGAGAGAGCACGAGAAAGAGAGCCCGAAAGAGAAAGGGAGCGAGCACACGAGAGAGAGCGAGAGAGCGAGAGAGTGAGAGTGCGAGATCGAGACCACGTGGCATACACAGACAGAAGCAACGCTTTATTTGCATTGTCGAAGCGTTTTTTAAAATGTTCACACCCAGTGATTAGAAAACCGAGAATGGGGAGGATGAGCCCTTTTGAGGGGGGCAAGCGATATACACGAATTGGGGAGCGAGAGGGAGGGAGGAGTACAACAAGGGGGGCAGACAAGGAGGCCGAGCGGGAGGGAGGGCGGATCGTTGCGTTGCGTGTTGCGTCGCGTCGCGTCGTCTCTAGACGGCCACGTCGTCCTTCTCGGGGAGCATCGGCAGGACGAGCATCTCGTTTTGCTGGGCCTTGTCGGCGAAGCATTCGCGCGCCTCCTTCTGCTCGCCAGCCTGCAAATAGATGGCGTAATTGGATAGGGAACTTTGGCATTATCGAGGGGAGGCAGTTTGCTGATTAACGAAATCGGCGTTACCTTGGTGGTCATGAAGAGGAGCACGTCCGACTTGGTGGACCCGTTGTTGCGCAGCACCTCGACCTTGTACGACTCGCCCGGGTCGACGAAGCCGCACACCGGGTGCACGCGGTACAGCAGGTTATCCGTGCACTTCACCTGTAAATTTGGTGGCGTAATCGAATGTTCAGTGTAATTAGATGACGTAGCCGATTACCGTAATCCGTAATCAAATACAATACCTTGACGGCGCGGCGCTCCTTCGAGTTGTTGACGATGTGGACCTGCTTGACGCCGCCGTTCTGCTTCCACACGAGTTCCGCCGGCTGCATGCGCATCTCCACCGTCTTCGGCGCGGCGCCGCCCACCTTGAAGACGTCGGGGGATTAAAGTGACGAAATGGGTCTCCGATACCTTGTCCTGGAGCTCCTTGGCCTGGGCGGCGACGTCGACCTTGGTCTCCTTGTCGCTCGGGCAGACGGCCGTCTTGCACTTCTCCTTGTCGGACTTGTTCGACTGAAAAGGGGTGCGTTGGAGGGTACGGTAGGCAGCATTACGCCCCAGTACGTAGCATTACGTGTCAGTACGCAGAAGTACATGCAAGTAAGCACCAGCGAGCGTCATTACGGAGCTCGTGCGCACCAATACGGTTCGATTCCGTAGCAATACGTTAGCTTAAGACTAGGGTACGCACCATGTAGGCGCGATAACACATCCATACGCCCTGATTACGCAAGGATGCGCCCGGTACGCACCGTTGTCTACCGTCGTGGTGCGTACCGGATCCCACCGCATACCTTGTCAACGGCAGTCGCCAGCCCAGCGCCCAGCGACTTCTTCTGACGACGCGACGCCGACGTGCTCTTCTTCGACGAGGCGCTGCCGCTCTTCCGGCCGCTCTTGCTGCTCGGCCCCTTCGACGACTTGGCCTTGCGCGACTTGGCCGACTTGCTCGACTTGGCCGAGCGGCTGCTCTTCGACCCGGCCTTGCGCGACGCGGAACGCCGCTTCGACGCCGTCGAGCGGGCCGACTTGCTGCCCGGCCGCAGCGACTTCTTCGAGTCCTTCTTCGTCTGAAGTTCCGAGTTTCTTGGGGTTTTCAGGGGGTTACTATAGGAATTACGCTATGAAAAGGGTACCATTTTGAAGCACGAAAAAGGCGCATATTTGTATGTAGCTTACATATATTTTATGCAAAAGATGCAAATTTTAAGGCCAAACGAAATATTCAAATCGCGTATTCGGATTTTCGGGTTTTTCATAGGGTTACTATAGACATTACGTTATGTTCATGGTATCATTTTGAAGCGCAAAAAATCCCGCATCTTTCTATGTAGCTTACGTACTATTTATGCAAAACATGCTAATTTTAAGGCCAAAACAATTTGTCGCATTTCGTCATCTTACTATCAGGTTGGTAGATAAGTCCTGTCACAAATTTTTGAAATCGCTCTATAAAGCCGCAGAAACGTCCAATTTTCACTTGCGATACATGATTTGATAGGTCTTGAGATGCTCTACCGTGGGCGCAGTCGGATAGGGTCTGGAAATTGTGGGTCGCCGAGATAACGGCCCTTGAAGATTTTTGAATAATTACGCAAAAGTGTTTTAGCGAGTTATCACTACATAGAGCAATTTGCATGCGATACCTTTAACACCAATCGATAGCTCTCGAGGAGTAGATATCGATAGATGTTGAGATCATCAAAAACGGACATCGGATGACCGAGATATGACCCTTTGAAATTTAGACCATTTCTTAGAACTTTTCCCCAAATCCCATACATCTTGCACATTTGGGCCAAACTTTGCCGCTTTGTTTTTGCACGCACCGAGAAGATTTTGGCAAAATGTATGGGATTTCGAGAAAAGTTCTAAGAAATGAGCCAAATTTCAAGGGACCATATCTCGGCCATCTGATGTCCGTTTTTGATGATCTCAACATCTATCGATATCTACTCCTCGAGAGCTATCGATTCGCGTTAAAGGTATCGCATGCAAATTGTTCTATGCAGAGATAACTCGCTCGAAAGCTGTGACTAGATTTTGAGCGAAACTTTTCGAAGCTGTATCTCGGTGACCAGCGACTTTGGGGTCCTAGGAGAGTCATGCTGAGGTAGAGCGTCCGAAGACCTATCAAATCATGTATCGAAAGCCCAAATTGGATGTTTCAGTGGCTTCATAGCACGATTTAAAAAAATTGTGACAGGACTTATCTACCAACCTGATATATTAATTATTTTTCAGAAGGTGTGGGAGATTTAGGTTCTTGTTGAAACACACTAATCTATGCAGAATTTTTAGCGCTACAAAATGCGCTAGTTTGCATAAAAATTTTGCATACCTGGGTGCGTCCCTTGCCGCATTGCGCGAGCGCCAGGGCGCCGACGCCCGCCGAGCCGACGAGCCAGAGCATTGCTTCGAGTGGGCGAGAGAGTGTGGAGAGGGTGATGGAGAGGAGTGGTGGATTTCCCCAGGTCGCCTAATTTTATACCTGGCAATGGAGGGAAATTTGGGAGGATATCCGGATTCAAAAATTCTAATCAGGCTGTTTATCCTAAATCGAAGGCTTTTTTCTGGCTTCGGATTTTGAAACGGTTTTGTTTTAAATTTGTCGAACTATAATTTTTCGAAACAACGTGTTTTGTCAAAAGTAGATTTATTGTTCAACTAAGACTAACTTCACAAATTTTTGATATAATCATTTTGAAACATTCCGAATTTGATGGAACATTCTTTTGCCTTAAATCCCTTCGTCCTAAAATAGGAAATTCTCGAGTTTTGATATTATTAAAATGGCAAAAATCCGGAGTTCATTTTGTTTTACATAATTTCCGATAGTAGAGATTTTGATGTTGGATAAAGCTCGCTGAAAAAAATTAAAATGAAAACTATGGAGCGCGTCAGGCTTCTCCCTAAAACATTTCCATTTTCCCAAAAAAGTTTTTTTCAAAGGGAAAGCCATAATTTGCCCATATCTTCTAGAAAGCTTTTCTTTTTACAAAAATTATTTACATGTTGTTGTTAGACATTTATTTTTATGAAGTTTTGAAGCACGTTATGTCTCAACATTAATGACTGGAAAACCCGAATTTATTAGAATCTTCTTGAAACATTTGAAAAATTTTGAGAAAAATTTTTATTTGAATTTTGGAAACTTAAAACGTTTCAGACGTGCCTGTTCTGCCACATCTGCTTGATATTCCCGAATGTGGTCGTGGTCGGGCAGGCTAAACAACCGAAAGAAGTCCAAAATGCCTATATTTTAAAGGTACGTTAAACCTGAACAATACTATTATTTTAAAAAATTTAAAATAATTAAATAATTACTAAATTACACCTAATTTAATAAAAAAATATATTTAATATTACCACTGAAAAATACTACAAGAAAAATAGTTTTAGAATTACCCGGAATATTCCTATATGTTAAACTACACGAATTGGATGATTTTTCCGATGGATCAGGTTTGTTTTAATAGATACTAAGATTTTCCATGAATTTTTGAGAAGCTTAATAAATTTAAATTGAATTTTAATTTTAAAATGATTATGAGACGCAAACATTCAGACATGATTGTCTTATTCTGCCGTTATTAACAACCAAACCCAGAACCGCTGAATGGTTTTTCGTGCCACATTGATTTTTTTAGAAAATTCTATTGACGAATTGGTGTTAATTTTTATAGAATTTTTATAGCACATAATTATTTATGGTCGATAAAGAGGATAGAAAGATTAGTAGCAGATCGGAAATTACATAAATTGATCTGTATTAGCCTGCTTTCGATGGAGACTTTTTTGAAACATGCTTCATTTGAGGTCTCAGTCGGATTCACCAAGCCTGTAAATTACTCAAATTGTTGTTTTTAAACAAAACTTCCAAGTTTTTTTCGATTTTCCTATGTGTCTTTTTTTGTTTCGATTTTTAACTTTTCGATAATTTTCGAGGAATACAGCAAATTTCAATAGCAAATTTTAAAAACTCATATTTTAGCCTGCTCCTTAAACATCCTCTTCTAAGTCGCCGAAATTTATCAGAATGTCACACTTTATTGATCATAAGTATTATTTTTACAGAACGACGACGTTATCTACATTCTGATCCTGTGGACTGTCGGCATTATCGTGATGCTTGGTATGGCGCTTTTCGGGATCTTGGCCGTGCTGCATTCGTTGAAAAAGGTGAATAAAATCATAATAGGCGCACGCAATTTTTTTCGGTTTTGGAAAAAATTTGAAACATTAAATTTGATCGATTCGGAAAATTTCACAAATTTTTTATCTTTTTGATTGATTAAAATTCATGGAAATCTACGGTAGATACTAAAACTAAATCAAAATTTGTAATTGTTTTGGAGGCGTCACTTTTCGATCCTTTGTGAGAGGCAAAGTACGATCGCCAGCACACAACATTCGTCGTTCCGATAAATTTTTACCTTTAGATTTTTCCGAAACATTCACTTTCAAAGATTTTTTGCAGTACCAATCGCTGCTCAGCTCGAAGAGCTACAACTCACACCGCCAGTTTCTCACGTCGCTGGTGATCCAGGTATTTTAGAATTTTCTTCAGGAGTTAATAAAACACGGTGCTGGATCGTATGTCGATTAGCGACGTCCTAATGAGCTTAATACATGACTGGCATTAAAACATTTTTTTTTCAGGCGACTTTCCCGTTTACCGTATATTTTCTGCCGGTCATGGTTGCAATTGTGATTTTCGTGTTGGGATACGATAATGCTCAAAGTATAACGCTTCTATAAACGAAAGAACGGCAGGCTAGCAGAGATTGTTGAGGAAGAGGAGAGGGCAGGCTAGCAGAGATTGTTGAGGAAGAGGAGAGGGCAGGCTAGCCGAGATTGTTGAGGCAGAGGAGAGGGCAGGCTAGCAGAGATTGTTGAGGAAGAGGAGAGGGCAGGCTAGCAGAGATTGTTGAGGAAGAGGAGAGGGCAGGCTAGCAGAGATTGTTGAGGAAGAGGAGAGGGCAGGCTAGCAGAGATTGTTGAGGAAGAGGAGAGGGCAGGCTAGCAGAGATTGTTGAGGAAGAGGAGGAGGAGGAGGAAGTTTTTTTAGGCATGACGTACTGGTGCTCGGCGATTTTCGGCACTCATTCCAATGTGAACGTGTTGGTGATGCTGACCGTGACGCGGCCGTTCCGCTTGGCAATTCTACGAAAGATACCGTACTTTAAGAATCGACTAGCGGAAGAAACGTCAAATACCAATTCGTTGTCCCGAGCCCTGCGGGAGGAGGCATCGGGGTATTGATGACATATTAATATTTAATAAAATTGAACGGTATGCTATCTTGCTGTTTTAAACGCAAAGCAGCGTTGCTAATCAATCACAATTAAGCACCCGAACAATTTTTAAAATTTGGGAAATTTTGGAAACATAACTTTCCCCTCTAGAAGTGAATTGAAAAAGTTAGGGTCGGCATTAATGACTAATTAATATTTGATAGGTTTTTGGTACAAAAAGTCCCATTTTGGTCCAAGTATTTTGGTACAAAACGTTAAATATGATACAAACTATAACACTACGACGTATTAAAAACGCCGCAGCGGATCGTAATGACGAATTAGGCACACCAGGAATTTTTGGATTTTGTATATTTTTGAAACATAAATTTTCGCTTATGGAAACTGAATTGAAAACTAGTGTTCGGTATTCGTGAGCCTGTATACGATACAACAAGGTAACGAAAAAAATCCCGAGGGCTGCGAGGCTGATTACCCATCTAAAATTTTTTTGTTTTGATCACTTGTCGAAACACATTTTTTCTTAACATTTCCGTTTGATTGCTATTGCTCCGCAGCAATGCTTATTTCAGCTCATGCGAGAAAGTTTCGTAATTTTGGGATCACACGCCTTGGGTGCGTCAACGACACCACTTTTCTCTCTCTCTCCCTCACTCTCTCTCTCTCTCTCTCTCTCTCTCTGTCTCTCGCTCTTTTGATAAGCCACTGCCTTTTTCCTGCGATAGAAAAAAGGCTAGTCAGCAGAAAAAAAAATCGATAACGGCAAACACGTCACCCTCAGCCGATGCCAAATTTTCCAAATAAAATTTACGACTCGCTACTTTCCATTCGTCGAGTTGCTGTGAAGAAAATGGTAAAAGACTTTTGAAAATGAACTCTAGAATGCTCAGTCAATAGTTGGCTTTAGAAAAGTCGGCAACCGATCCCGCCCTAAAACATACGTTTTTAAAAACAACTGGATCTTCAAAAAATCTAAAAGCAATTTTTTTGGTAAGCTTGTAAATCCCCTAAAATAACATTGAATTCATGAAATTGCGGAAAAAATTTGGCTTTTGCTTTAATTAGACTTACAACATCCAAAAAGGGCATTTAGTAAAGCTCGAGCCCAGGGAGCCCAGGGAGCCCAAGACGGTTTTGCAGTATAAGGTTATAAAAGTCGTAATTCGTATTAAATCTTGTAGTAATGCACTAATACTAGTATAATAGTCCAAAATTAATGCCAATGATACTTTAATATACCTCCGGAAGCTCCCTAAGCTTCTTGGGCTCCCGGCTCCCTGGGCTTGAGCTTTACAAACTGCCTCCAACAAGTCAATATTCGATGTTTAGTGAATTGCGCCAGATGACGTTTTGAAACATCATTTAAAAAACGTTTAAGCATTCGGTTCTAGTTGCCATCAAGTTTTGAACTTTTTTTAACTTTTGTGGTAATGGACCTGACAAAAATGATGTGTTGCCAACGGATCAATACTTGATTTCGAGGACTGGCAACTTTGCTCTACGTCAAAACATATGTTTTCAAGGAAATTCCAAGAAATATTTTTCTAAGCAATATAAATAGTGAAAGAATTTTTAGTTTTATTTTTTTTACTATTACTAAACACGAAAACTTTGTCAAATTTTGATTAAAATTGTCTAAAAATATCGATTTTCCGGCCCAATATGGCCGGTTTCTTACCAAAAGTTCGACTTTTTAAAAGCTTTTGAATAGTTTTCTAGTTGAAATATGGTTATATTTTACTAAGAACACTATTAAAACGCTTGCTATTCAGTTACCAGGCATTTCTAGACGTATAGCAAGATTACGCCCCCCCCCCCCCCGGATAATGCCAAAGAACCTTTCCAGGATCAAGCCACTGCAGATCTCCGGAAGCTTGTAGAAGACATGAGGGCGGTGTACCTCGTCACTTTCAAGGAGGTCGACAGGGTGGAGCTCATGGGAAAATACGAGGCCGACGCGGGGAGTGGGTCGAAAAATCGATCAAACAAAAATTGCTCGTAAGTCAAGCTATCAGCTTATATAGCTACGTTTTAGCCCTCTGAATTTACATCCAAGACGGGGCTGATCATCGAAGTCGAGTAAGCAATTATAAAATCAATGTTTTATAAGTTTTATAATAATTTGTAATCACGCGCTTTTGATCAAAATCAACGAGGATGATCTTAAGAAATTTATATTCTGTAAATCAGGAATAAAATTAATGTGTTTCCAGCGAAAATTACGGTCAGGCTGCTCTTTTAAATGTACGCGCAAGTCTTCGTTTTCAGGATACCCGGTATGGAAATGTACCCTACGAGACACGACTTCCCTAAAGGATCATCCTCGCTGCGACGTTTCTACAGTACCATATTCAGGAATTTTTGTAGGGCAATACAAAATGCAACATTCATTTTTAGGGAGCTACGAGTCGTTGTCGATAAAATTCTATGCAGCAAAGAGAGACGATATTCGGAAGTTGCTAAATATTCTCAGTTCTCCAACGTGGAAGGTAAGGCAATGGATTGAAACATCTTAAAGGTAGCTTAAACGACTCGTGGACCAAGTGAGCCTAAGCCTAAGCCTAAGCCTAAGCCTAAGCCTAAGCCTAATCCTAACCCAAGCCTGAGCCCAAGCCTAACCTTAAGCTTAAAGGGCGTCAGGCAGCAAGCCGCTTTTTCCACGACTCGTGGAAGCGTCGCGGTCGGGTGCGTCGCGGCAGGGAGAGAAAGAGCGCGCCCAGAGGAGAGACGCAGACAGAACTCTGCGTCTCTGTCCGGTCCCCAAAATGCCGTAATCGGTGTGCTGCCAGAGCCGCTTTAAGCCTAGGCCTAAACCGAAGCCAAGCCGAAGCGAAACCTAAGCCTAAGCCCGTGCCTATGTTTAAGCCCTATCACAACATTTTCAAATTTAGACAGCATCTCTGTGGGGAGGCGGACGCTTTGGTTTCTACAATGAAAGTGATTTTCCGGGCGAGGTGTTGAAGGTTTCCATACCTCTACACGAATATAAGTCTAGAAAGACGTCTACGCTTGGGCAAATGCATATCCGAGACTGGCCTTTTACGGTAGGTCATTTATGGGTCAAAAGAGAGGGAAAATTTATTGATTTATGAAGCGAATTACAATATGATGGAAATTATATAGCGCAACCAGTAATGAAATTTTAGGTTTTGGCAAAGGTATCAACTTCACGGCTCTCGTCTTGAAGAATTTGCAGGTCATATACAAGCCCTAAACCCTGAATATACCAACTTAATGGTATTTTTAGCGCTTATTTGCGTTTTGTCGAAAATCGTTTTGTCGTAGCTTTATTTTGCAGAAATTTCATATTTTCGCAAATTGAACTTTCGGCCCATTGAAGTTTCGACGGCATAAAATTACAAAAAGTCAGTTACGACAAAACGAATTTCGAAAAAGTGAACTTTCGTCTAAATGAAATTCGACAAACGGCTAGAAAATGTGTGTTTAGAAATGGGTAGACGGGGCTGAAATCACCCACAGTTTTGCACAATTCCACGATGGCCCATGGGTATACATATTAGAAATTGTTAAATTACTTTAATTTTATGGCTAGAATTTTCCCTTCATCGGCAAGAAGCAAGAAGCTTTCGAAAAGAAGTACAACGTCCGGATTGTTATGTGTGAAAATTCGAGCGCAAGGTTGTTTGACCTATTCTAGTGTCTAGCGCTCATTAAGGACAAAATAAAATATTCCACATATAACACTTTTTTCAGTAAAATGCGAAACATTTGGTTTCTACGGCTCAATAAGGTAAGGGTACTTTAAACGGATGCCCAACCTTTTTCGCGGCTCAAAAAGCAAAAACCATGCAGCGCGCGGGGGTCGAACCCGGGACCCACGTTTTGTAGGCCTGGATGCTATCCATTAGGCCATAGTGGCAACCCATGGGATGGGATGGGGACGCCAAAAGAGCTAAAGGTGGCCGGATTCTGTGCGGCATTGGGGGCCCACTACCACACAAAATTCGGGCGTCATTTGTACTGCCCGGAATACATAACTATATATTTGCTGCCAAAACCTTGGGTATCCCTTTAAAAATGAGTGAATCATATGTTTTAGCCCGAAGAAGTAGTGCGGTTACGGTATGATTCGAATAGGTAACTTTGTCGTTATTACCAATTATATTCTGGTTTTTTGTAGATGGTTCTCCATAAAAACGCAGCCGCCGCCACCGGAAATCAAGTACGAGCAACACCAGGTAACTTTTGCTTCTTTTAGGACCCAATTTTTCTAAAAAAACCAGCGGAAGCGTTTTTAGGCTGTTTTTCAATATTCCTAAACGTAAAAACTTTACAAATTTTTATTTTAAAAATACAAAAAACAACGATTTTCTTCGCCAAAAAATGGCCGTTTTCTAATTCTTTTTCAATATTCCTAAACCTAAAAACGTTGCAAATTTTTATTTTAAAAAATAGAGAAATATCGATTATTTTTAAAATCCCGATTTTAGAAAAGCTTTAAACATTTTTGGATAGTTTTTCTGGATAAAAGACAGATTTATCAAATATTTCGGATTAAGTTATTTGGCATTTCCAAACTGATAGAAAAAATATGTTTCTCAAATCGGCCAATTTTCGATAATATAAACTTCGATAATAAAACCACATGATGCATCTCTTTTAGCTCGGCATCATCGACAAAACTGATAACTTAAAAGTGACCACGCTGAAGTTAGGGGATTGGAAATATCAACGCACTATGGAAGCTGAAGAGCCCGGAGGTGCACCGCTGATCTCGACGGTTCGTAACTATTTTATTTTACATTATTTTGGGGTGAAATCAAATCTGTTAATATATATTTCGCTGCTCCATCGAATGACGTTTCTCAAAAATCTCCGAAAAAATCGGAAAATGACGAAAACCTGCTCTTCAGCCCAGTTTCAAAGAGTATTTTTGTTTCTGCGATAACACCTCAATTTTAAGTTATTTTTAGGTGCGGTTGCAGCCAAAGATATATTTTTAAATGCGCTTAAAAACCGCGCCGAAAAAATGCCGAAAAATGCCGAAAAATTTAGCCTTCACCTATTTGTAACTAGTGGCGAAACGGCGTTTTTTTTGTATGTTTCAGGCTTCGCCGTAGTGGTTCCCACCTCGCAGCATTTTTTTAATGCCACCAGATAGCTTTAATATACCACATATTGTTTAGATAAGCCACCGTCCTACCTTCGACGACGTCAACAGCCTGAGGCATCTTCAAGGACGATTACCGGATTTATCCTACTGTAAAGAATTTCGGGAAATGTGTAAATAGTCAAATAAACGCGACTTTAATCAATTTTCTGCTTTAGACAGTCTTTTTAAACTCAAAACAAGAAAATCGTTTTAATAGAAAATTAGTGTATTGGTAAAGCTACCAGCTACTAGGCACACTACCCGGGTTCGATTCCTCCCTAAGTCAAATTTTTTGCTTCTTGGTCGCCAGCTCGAAAAAGTAAATTTCTTGCAGGCTAAAGGTTATTCGGGGGCTGGCTAGCAGAGATTCTTCGGGGAAATATCGAAATCTTGGAGACACTAGAAAAAAGAAAAATTCTTAAAAAGCCTATTTTTTTGGAAAAAATTAAGGAATTTCGCAGATTTTAAGGCACCATTCTGTAACCCCAAAAAATAGCTATAAAAATGTGTCAATATTAGAATTTTTAAGTATCAAAGTTTCTTGTCGGCCCCCCATTTTCGGCGGCGGCGGTGTTGGCTGCTGGAGGCCCCCCCTTTCCCCTTTTTTCTCCTTTTTTTTTTCTTTCTAATTTTTTCTTTTTTTTTTTTTTTTTTTTTTTTTTTTTTTTTTTTTTTTTTTTTTTTTTTTTTTCTTTTTTTTTTTTTTTTTTTTTGTTTTGTTTGGTTTTTTGGCCTTTCGCCCATTGAGTGGCGGCGGGTCTCTCTCTCTCCCGCTCTTCCCCATCCAAATATTCCCCACTCTCTAGCACCGTTTTTGTTTGTGCTCCAGCCAGGAGGAGGGGGGCTGGCTGACCCCCGTCACCGCGAAATGCAGACAGAGAGAGAGACAGATAGAGAGAGAGAGAGAGAGAGACAGAGAGAGAGAGAGAGAGAGAGAGAGAGAGAGAGAGAGAGAGAGAGCGACCGTGAAGTCAGATACCGCACTAGAGATCAGAAAACCACCAAAACCCCTTGAAATTGGCCAATGATTATAGTGCGAGCTGACGAATTAACATTAACAGATACGTGCTTCTTTTTGTCCATTTTTGTATCGAGGGAGAATTAAATCGAGCAAGCGTAAAAAGAAAAATCAGCTTCGAGGAAAAATGTTAAGGAATATTGAATGCTTGTGACAATTATTGCAAATACGATTTTGGGACAGTTTGCAAAAAAATATCTCAGAAAATCTTGTGAAGTCAGAAAATCTTGTGACCTTGGGACATCTTAAGCGAACCAGCGCAAGTAAAATCAGCGTTCATGAAAAATTTTTATAGAGAAATGTTTCGGAATTTTTCGTTTAACCGGGGTAATACTGCATTTTAATCGACGCCAGGCAGAAATAGGCGAAAATCTAAATATTCCTCCATTATCTCCACGGTGCACTTTATCCCCGTAGTTGTTTTGGTGGTCCATGCTTTGTAAAGCAACATTTTAGTTAATCAAAATCAGCTAAAATTGCAATTGCATCGACGTTTATGAAAAGGAAATTAGGCTTTGAAGAAATTCCACGAAAAAATTAAGGTTTAAAGAAAATCAAAGTTTTTCGAAAGTTTTGAAACATCGAAATTTTTGGACAAAGGTTTCAGAAACTTTCTTCACCCCATGGTAAGTGGCGCATCTTAATCCACAGATGCAAAACACCTCAAAAATTTGCTAATTTGAGCTGTCGATATTTTCCCTAATAGATCTATTTTTCAAACACCGAATTTTTCGAAAAGTGTTTCAGAACTTCCTCTTAAACTATCAGGTTGGATAATAAGTTCTGTCACAATTTATTGAAATCGCTCGTTAAAATCGCAGATGTTTCCAATTCTGGAGTATGAGGTATGGATTGATAGGTCTCACAACACTCTATTCTGGGAGGACCCTCAATTGACGTAAAAAATTGAGGGACGTCGAGATACAGGTCCGAGAAGTTTTCCGCAAAAACGTACCAAACCTATTTTGCAAGCTATCTCTGCATAGAGCAATTTGCATGCGATACCTTTAACACCAATCGATAGCTTTCGAGGAGTAGATATCGATAGATGCTGAGATCATCAAAATTGGACATCGGATGGCCGAGATACGACCCCTTGAAATTTGGCTCATTCCTTAGAACTTTTCCCAAAATCCCATACATTTGGTCAAAATGCGCTCGGTTCTTTTGAAAATCAAGCGGTCAGTTTTGGCTGCGGGCTATCAAATATATGGGATTTCGGGAAAAGTTCTAAGAAATGGGCCAAATTTCAAGGGGTCGTATCTCGGCCATCCGACGTCCAATTTTTTGATGATCTCAGCATCTATCGATATCTACTCCTCGAAAGCTATCGATTGGTGTTAAAGGTATCGCATGCAAATTGCTCTATGCAGAGCTAGCTTGCAAAATAGGTTTGGTACGTTTTTGCAGAAAACTTCTCGAAGCTCTATCTCGGCGACTGGCAATCTTTGGCTGCGAGGAGGGTCTACCCAAGGTAGAGCTCGAGGAGACCTATCGAACCATATAACACACTATTAATTTGGGCACGTCTGCAGCTTTAACAAGCGATTCCAAAAAATTGTGACAGAACTTATTATCCAACCTGATACGATGTATGGAGGGCTTAATTCGCATTTATTCGAGGTCAAGCCATGATAGATGCGCATCTCAATTCACAGAGCCAACATAACCCAAAAATGTGCTATTTTGAACTAGCGATATTTTCCCGCCGGTACCTTTAAGTAGGCATTTTCAGGTAGGAATCAGCTAAAAATGCAAATCGTCCAAAACCATGCAGATCGAATTATGGTTTCGAGAAAATCGGAAAAGATATAAATTTTTAAAACATCGGAATCTCGAAAATGAAAAAAAATTCTTTTAGTCCTTGGTCAAGCGTACATTGCAATCCCGAAAACCTGAATATTTCTTACGTATTTACTGGTGTCCCCCTATCCCCTAGCTATTCTGGGCCCTCCGGCGGGTCCCAGGGCCCAGCGTGGCCGCGGGCCAACCGAAACGGGGGCAAATTGCCAGCCGCCGTCCTCTTTCCCGGCCAGTCAAGCCGTCTTCTTCTTCTTCTTCTTCGTGTTGGTGTGGGTCATTCCTGGCAGGGGGCCAATACTTGGCTGCCTGCCAAGTATTGCCCTCCCGGTCCCCATTTCGGGTATGTCGTCTGGGGTCTCTCACTCTGTTGGGCTCTCTCTCCCTCTGCCTCGTTCTCTTGTCTGTTCCCCCAAACCCCAGCCCGGGAGCCGCTCAATCTCCTCCGAAAAAACAACCCTTCGCCCGCTCCCGTATTGGTCTTTCTGGAATGTTGCCGATCCGGGAACTTGCGGCTTTTAGAGTTCCCGCGCAAAAAAAGCAAAGAAATTTACCACGGAAAGAATCGAACCCGGGTTGCTCGCCTGAAAGCGTAGAACTCTACCAATCGGCCAGGCGCATAAAACCGCTTAAAACCATTTTTAATTTCCGGACTGCTTTTAGGTGGTTCATTACAGTTCACCGTGCGCAGGAACAAGGAATCAAAAAAACCCCGGGTTGCGCTCCTGAAAACGTAGGACCTTGCCAAGCGGCTCGATTCAAAAAACGTTCAAAAGCTTTTTTAACTTTCGAGAAGCATTTAAGCTGTTTTATTGCAGTTCGCCTTGTCTTTGACGCAAAAGCAAAAATACCAATCCCGCCTAAAGGGGATAGGACGTATCGGTGGATTAATGGGGGTTAGGTACACGAAGGGTGGCTAAAACATGAAACTTCGTTTTGGCATGGATGGACAAGTCGGGTTTGTAGAGCCAGGCAGAGTTTCTAATGGAAATTCAAACGATTTGCCGCGCGTTAGTTGTTTTAGTTCCTAATGAAGATTGGCTAGCTTGCACCGGCCCAAAAATCAACTACCAGGGATTGAAAAATAAATGTTTTAGGAAATTTGGTTATTTTGATGGTTCCAGGGTTGACAATTCCGCAATGTACAAACGCTCGTTTTCCCCAAAAATTTCCGTTTCGGTTCGTAAGAAAACAATTTGCCGTTGGCTATTTCCACCGATCAATGCCCGAGAATCCCTGCTAGATTGCCTGGACCAAAAATAGGAAACGCAGCCAGAAGGAAATGTTTCGAGTAGCTTCCTACTTTTGTGAACCAAGAACCGCACATTATTACTTCATCTATTTTTAAATCACATTTTTACTAATTAACTTCCCTTAATTTATTAATATTGTTTTTTATTCGAATTTTTGAAGCAAGCGTATATGGAGCTCGGCTAGCCTGTCTGAGCAACGTTTTTTTTAAATAAGATGTGTTTCATTTCAAATAGTAGTTTCGCTGGTTCCCCTAGCCCTACGACACATCAAGCATTTTTAAATTTAGCGTTACTCATTTGACGAGTCCTGTGAAAATTATTGGCAACTCGCCAAGGCCGATTCCCCCGTCACTAACTGGCGAAATACGGGGGTAAAAAACTCGTTATCTCTGCGCTCTCTCGCCTGCTGTACTCTCTCGTCTGGGTAGTGGTAAACAGAGAACACCTCACCCAGCATTCGGGCTCCCTAGCTGGCAGGGCGCCAAGTGGCTTCAGTTGTTTTCGTCTCGAAATACTACCCATTTGTTGTCCAAATTCCTAAATAATCTCTGCTAGTTGCCCTAATTCCTCGAAAATCTCTGCTAGCCTGCCCTCTCCTCTTTCTCAACATTCTCTGCTAGCCTGCCCTCTCCTCTTTCTCAACATTCTCTGCTAGCCTGCCCTCTCCTCTTCCTCAACAATCTCTGCTAGGCTCCCCCCAAATTTTAATCAATCTAGACCCATAATTTCGCGTTGTTGTTGCACTTTTCCAGGTTTAGCCCCCCGAAATCCGTTGCTCTCGGGATTTCTGCCCGATCCCCCGGCCGGCTCGGGCAGCTTGCTACTTTCCTACTTTCCTCTTTTTCTCTCGGTCTCCCTCTATTTCTTTGCTCTCTCCTAGTCACTCTCGCTCTCTCGCCATTCCACTTGTCAGCCATTTGTCACAGAGGGACTCGGGTTTAGGAAGGGAGGGGAGAGACCGATTGTTGACTTCGTGCCAGAACGACCTTCTGGACAATTTGCTGGTTCTCTCTAGCTGGCTGGCTCTCTCTCTCTCCCGCGCGACCTTTTCCATACCAAACCGAG